CCTATCAGTTCAGGAAGCTACTGCTCTAATTGTGCAACCAGAGGAAGTGATTGAACCTCCCCGCCCCCAGGTCCGCGCGCACAGGGAAGCACCTTTATTACCAAGAACAAGGGCATTACCGAAATGCGGTGCATGTGGGAATCAGGGCCATAGAAGAGATACATGTCCAGATAGACCTAGAATTTAGCTGATTGAATTTGATGGAGTTTTGGTTGAAATAAATGCGTTCAAATTTAATAGGCTGGTTGGGGTGGCCAGCTCGCTTGGGAATTACGTTATATTAGTTTCTTAAATACCTAGATATTTTAGTAAAATTTATAGATACTATAGATTAAAACCGCGATTTTTTATAGAGTTAGCAAAATAGGTATAAATAACAGTTATTTAATTTATAAAGTCACCTAGTTATGTATCCATCTTAGGTGACTTTATATAATAGTGGGTGTAGTAGGTAATACCCGGGATAGGTATACCCGTAGGCCGTAGATTTTTTAGGTCAACTTTGACCAATTAGGTAGTTGGATTACGTTGAGGAATATTGTGTTTCCAGAATTGAGTGGATGACGGCCTGTACTTTTTTCTGCATTTAATGCATCTGGTGTAGATTCTATGATCCTAGATAGTTGTACCCTTGGTTGCCCTTACAGTTTCATTCTTTTTTGGGGGGGCAATTGTATCGAAGAGACATGTAGCACTCTTTACGACATGTCGCCCACTAAGTGACAGAATTTGACAAGTCCAGAATTGGTTTGCTAAAATCAAGTTGTAAATCAAAACGCCTTTGAAAGACTGTGTTTGGTCGATCTACAGCGCCATCAATCCCAGACAAAAAAGAAACGTGACAGCATTTTCGTGGACTTCGTGGCGGGACTTGACATTACACACCTATAGGTAGCACCTCAACACACGTTAATGACGAAAGGAAACCGAGTCAATTCCACATGGTCTTACCATGCTCCGATCATCATTCAATCTTTACTTGCAGATCCAGACTCCATCTCCATTTCACGGTCAAGGCTGTACGACTTCCGCAATCGCGGATACACTAGCCCAAAGAATGCGACGACCGCTAGTAGAACAACAAATGTGGGTAGAAACATAAAAATAAAGAGGAAGATGCTCAATCCGAGGGTAAAATTCTGCCCACGAACAAATCGACGGGCCATCACCTCGAGGACCGAGTACATATGGTAGTTAAGCCGCCAGGGACGTAGATGATATGTGAATCTAGCCAGATAAGAAGAGGGGTTTTGAGTAAGTGATCTCAGAGCGGTCGTGCACCTTACCCCATGTACTTATAGCTACAATGGAAGTGCCGGATGTGCACCGCCATCCCCAACATTTGTGGCTCATGGCTCCGCAAAAGCTCTGCTCTCCGTTGATTCTTGATGCCTGTGTCATAGTGTTTTTTTTTTTTTTGTTTTTTTTCCACCTCCACTCTTGGCACCAATATTGTTCAGATACATCGGAAACTTTCGCAAACAATCAAATGTGGGTTTCCCTGAAATCATCGAAAATCACGGATTCGGTCCGGGGCTTGGCGTTAAGTACTCCGTAGGCAACAGCATTTTGCACAGGTTCTCCACTGATTGCGTACGGCGTACAAAGTACTCCGTACTCCACAATCCCTACTCCGTGCTATTGAGGCCTGAATGATCCCGGCAATTGGTTTTAGATGATCCAGAGCCACCGATTCAACTAGTTACCCCTAAAAGTTCTTGCAGCTCCTGTATTCAGCCCTAGCAGCCAATTCCTGCCAATCCGACAACTATACGCGCCCGTGGTGGGTCCAGAGTGCAATCATCCCTTCTAGGCAGCACACCCCTTCGGGTCAGCTGATATCGTGCGGATGAGCAGCTTATTTGACCGTTTCCTCCGTTCACTGTGCAGGGCCCTCGCAAATCTCTGGACCAGAATTGAAGGAGGCCGCAGAGAATTGGATTCGGAGCCTGCTGCATGTCATTGGAGGATAAAATGGATCCTGGAATCAAATCACCCTCATAGGGCTGAAGCTTGGCTTGCGGGGCGGACTCGCGTTTCCTGAAGCATAATTGTACGGATCGGAATTAACGGATAGTGCATCTGTGGAATTTACATAAGTTGACTCTTGTGTATAGTTGAAAAGACAGAGCTGTGATCATCCGTTCTTCACGGGGTGCGATGATGCGTACCGTATGCCTTGTATTTCCCCCACCCCTGTCGAGAGTGGAACCAGAGCAGAAGAAAAATAGAACAATTAAATAGGGTAATGTAATCATAGTGACTACCTTGGAAGGCAATCTTCCCCCACATCTTTCCTTCCTACTGTGGCCGATAGAACGTGTTTTTACCACTTTGACCACACCTGCTCCTCATTCGCCGGAGCACTTTTCTCAAAAGGGCACCTCTAGCTTCTCAACATGTCTTGGCTCGCGGGGTATGGCAGTAGTGGTGAAACTGATTACGATAATCTAGGCGTCGATTGGGTACTACAATATGAGTTTGGAGACATTGGTAATTGACTGGCCAGCATGGGAGATCCATGGTCTTCTGCAGATACTGACGATCATCAGATCCAGCTCAAGCTATCACAGAGTTTCAAATGCTCATCCACGACCTGAGCGAGGCGGGTCTGCGGGTTCAGGTTCGTCACGGCCATGGTGAAGCGCTATTGGTCTGCATTCGGATTCCCCGGGATCATCTTGGAAATTTAGTACACCAGTCAAGGTATGTGGGGGTTGGAATACCAGATGATGTTGTCGTTAGACAGTCAACTCACACAGCGCAGAATTAAAGATTGGCTGTTTGGAATTACGCATACCTTACCGGATGGCGATGAAACAGCTGTCGCCGACGCCGATACCCCATCCGAAGAGATCCGCTCGGTATACCACGCCGTCACCTGGCAAAAGAAATTAGGAGGCGCGGGAATTACGCCAGGGTTTGGAAAATGGAAGAACGTCACGGCCTCATTTCCACTGCATGACCAAGAGGCCTGTGCGGAAATGCTTCGTCAATGGAATCGAAAAACTGTCTTGACCACCAGCGATCTGGATGCGATTCGAGCCTTGTTTGGCGAAAAGGTATGAATCCCGCTCGGTCGGTCTTGGGTCGGCTATAGAGTAATCTTGTGACAACTACCTAACCCCTGTGCAGGTCGCGTTTTACTACGCTTTTATACAATGCTATTCGCTATTCCTTGTGGTGCCTGCAGGACTGGGCATTTTTGGATGGCTATATCTAGGCCCATATTCCATCGTATATGGAACCGCACTGAGCGCCTGTTGCGTTGTGTTCGTGGAGTACTGGAAGGTACGGGAGGCAGATTTAAGTCAGAGGTGGGGTGTCAAAGGCGTTGGACAACTAAAGGTCAATCGCAAGCAGTATGTGTGGGAGAAAGAGGTCACGGACCCCATCAGTGGTCAAGTGAAACAGGTCTTCCCAGGTTGGAAGCAGTTCACTCGCCAGCTGCTGTTGGTTCCATTTGCTTCTGTTGCGAGTGTGGCCCTCGGGGCATTGATTATTGTCTCCTTCGCATTGGAGGTTTTCATATCAGAAGTGTACGACGGTCCATTCAAGGAGTATCTAGAATTCATACCGACTGTCCTGTTTTCGTTATCCTTGCCCGCCATTACCTCGTTTCTAACAAGCATCGCAACCCGCTTGACCGACTACGAAAACTATCGAACGCAGGATCAATACGATCTTGCGCAGACTCAAAAGAGCTTCGTCATGAATTTCATCACCTCTTTCCTCCCCACGATATTGACTGCCTATGTCTATGTTCCCTTCGGCAAACAAATCGTCCCACACCTTGACATCCTCCGAAGAACGGGGTTCAAGGCCGACTTGGTCAGTGGGCAGAAGGAATTCGAGGTTGATACAAGCCGATTCCAGCAAGAGGTGATCTATCTATCCATGGCGGCTCAAGTACTTAACTTCGGTGAGGAGGTCGTTCTACCGTATGTGAAGCATGTTCTGAGGCAGAAGTGGCAAAACTATCGCGATCGCAAGGCGGAAGATAGCCACAAGCGGAAGCACTCCCTAGCGACTAGCCTCTTCTTAGTTGACTCACCAGAGGAAGTGGCATTCATGACAAGACTACGCAGCGAGGCCGGCGCAGAGGAATACCATGTGGAAGAGGATATCATGGAGATGTGTGTGCAGTTTGGCTATCTCGCATTATTTGGAGTTGCCTGGCCACTAGTGCCGCTCGGCTTCCTGCTAAATAGCTGGCTGGAGCTACGAGGGGACTTCTTCAAGCTCACGCTGGAGTGCCAACGACCACCCCCAATTCGGTCGGACTCGATCGGTCCATGTCTACTGGGGTTGGATTTTTTAGCCTGGCTAGGAACTCTATCTACAGCGGCCATTGTGCATGTCTACCGGGGTTCCATTTCCGAGGTGCGGTTTTCCTCGCTTCTCTTGACGTTGTTCGTCGCCGAACAGGTCTATCTGGGGATGCGATTCACTGCCTCTACAGCCCTCGAGAAGATCTTTTCCGACACAATTAGAAGAGAAGAGGCTAGTCGGTATTCTGTGCGCAAGGATTATCTTGCTGCTAGTCTGACGAGAAACTCTTCCCCCAGTTCTGGCTCCCAGGGCTCGCCGAACAGTCGGCCCCGTCCCCGGGTGCGTTTCAACGAACGAGTTAATGTATACAGCTCAAACAAAAAAGACCCGTCAACCGACGGCGCTTCGTCACCAAACAAAGAGGAGCCGTGGAATGACGTTCTTCGTGGATCCGACCGTGAGGCCCAGTTCTGGGGTGCATATTCAGGGGACATGGCAGACGCAGGCGTCAAGCTAATTCGCGCATTAAGCACGCCGAAAGCAGGGTATGGGGGTAAATCTTCTAAAGAGGTGTAAAATTTATCGGCTCTATGTATTTTAAGATCACATTTTCTGTTTCTATCACATTGCTGCCTGGGATTTTCCATGTATAGTTCGCCAGGTCGCTAGATTGGCTGTGGTACCCAGCAAATGTAGGCATTGATTGAAGGATCCCACCGGTTTGTATTCCCACTAATCAATTAATTTCATATATGATACAATATTATACCGTCGCTGTACACGGACTGAGGTCCCCTGCAGATCATGGAGCAGTGTCAGCCCTATAGGGCTGAGCCAAGGCGGGTGTCTCGATTCACCCGTGAACTTTGAAGACCGGGGGGGGGGGGGGGGGGATTCTCTGGTTTTGCCTCCTTGCGTGTCTTTTTCTCTTTGTCTATTTCTCTTCTATCCTGTTTTTCCTCCACTTTGTCCAGTTTAATTATCATCTAACCCTCCGAATCTGGTTATACAGAGCATCGGCATGGAAAGCCCCGTCTGAGCTTCTCCTTCCTACGGTTACCCGCATCGAATTTACCATGGTGACCACGGCTAACTCCTCCGATACTCTAATCGCTTTACCATGTCCCGCCCACATCTCAAGGTCGACTACCAAGTCCACGACCATGGCCACGGAGATAGACTTGCTATGGCCGACCGAGTCTCCACCCCCCGTGATCCCAAAACTCGGCCGTGAAGCCAGTGACATTACATGGCAGGAACATCTGGAGTCAAAAAAGGGCCAGGTTGTGCTAGTCAGGCGAGGTGGTCAATATCGCCTACTGCACCAGCAGCAATTCAAAAACAGCTTGCTTGCTAGCGTCGGGTACCTCGAGCTAGCTAACGCCGCTGACTTCGCTGCCAACGTCTGGAACCAGGTTCCCGTTCCAAAGTTTGCCGCTGTACTCATGGGAATCGGGGGCACATTGGCCTTAGGAATGGTGCTGGTTGCTATCCACGATTTTCGACTGAGCTGGATAAATGTCAAGCTGCTGCGAGTGGAGCGAGAGCACCTCCTGCGTCTACGGCAATGCCATGGCAAGAATGCAGAGCTTGCCCGGCCTATTGACAGCCGGCTGGGGGTGGGACTGCGTGAAATTGGCACCGAGGTGATTGACCGGATCGTGATGGATGTGTTTATGGGATTCGGCTCGTTGTTGGTTGGCGTTGGCACTTTGATGGCCATTGGCGGCGCCAACCCCCGTGTCTTCAAAGCTAGCAATCTGCTTTCTGGGTATATTGGTAATGGTCTCGCTGCAGTGTTTGGCATTTTCAATGCCATCTGGTCTGGTTATCTATTTTATCGATTCCATGTGCACGGCACGGCTGCCTATGCCCGTGAGCCGAGCGATGATATCCGTCGCCGTCTGCATACTCGGTTCCGCCGCTTCCAATGGCATGCTGGTGTCAATGGGCTAAATGGTCTTGTTGCTGGTGCTGCTTCGATAGTTACTGCCGAGCGATGGTGGGGATACGTTGTCCTGGTTCCGTGCATCATGTCATTAATACTGTGTAACTTTTTCTGGCGGAAAAAGCTGGGTTACGATCGTCCGCTCCTTGGGTATACATCAGCCGCGGAAATCCAGGTGCCTGAGCTCATTGAAGACCTACAATACGTGATTGTAATGCAACGCGCTCTTGCCGATTCTGAACACTCCCTACCGCAGGCGATTGTTCAACCCAACTCCTTGCAATCAATTCTTCGCTTCGTTATCCGTGAAAACATGTTCGAAACGTTCTGCGAATCCCTCGCCCGGGACAAGTTAACCTACCCGATTCTTGCTGCATTCCCATCTTTAAACACATCTCCTGACCAAATCAACGTCTCCCCCGACACCCTCTTTCGCCTTCCCCCAAGACATCTAGATCTCATTCTAGAGCACGCAAAGCAGTTCCTACGAACAACAGCTGTCCGCATTTTCACAGATCGCGAACGCCACCTGCTCGAACTTGTTGGCTATGCCGTCTGGAAGGATCACAAAAAGGCTACCACAACCACACACAGTGGCACAAAAGAGCCCGCTTAATGTTTTCGAGGCTCGGTTACATCATGGCCTTTTGACTTTCCCCGGAACTCATGAGGTTGAAGCAAATGGCCATCGTCTAGTCGCCGGTTGGTCTTCATTTTGTTGCATTTCTGCATTGCGTTGAGGGATTCTGTTCACTGTTATTCTAGAAGTGCTAGAACTTAGTGTTAAGCATACCGCAGTTATTTTTGTTCCTAGCATATTGGGGGTTGACTATGATAACCATCACATTCGTATCAGGTTTGCCACGATGGTCTTCCACTATGCACAACCATCTCAGACATCAACGCCCATGTTTCGCAAAATACGACGGGAACGGTGCTTATTTTTTGTTGAAACATTTTATTTCCTACAACATCTACCTCCCAAGACACCAGGAGGATAGGCTTAGAGCCATAAACCCGCAGGTAGGTATTAGCCCTATTTTCTCCTTTCTGGAGTTCTTTATTCTACTCCTCATCACATCTCTGATCAATCCACCAGCCTTGCCCAGCTCATTCTCGCAGCTTTGCTTTTCTTCGTCGATGAAGGCCTATGTAGGTATTTGGAAACAACACTCAACAGTTTCTACGCTCGGTGTTGTGTAGGACATTTCACATTTCCACTTGATCTTGCTCATCTTCCTCATAGTTCTCTTTTCTCTTGCTAGTGTCTAAGTAACAAGCAACGTGACAAAAACAATGGCTGTCAAGCCACCATGAAGATCAAACTCATAAAAGGTCTCAAGTTGTCGGCACTGGTCTAACATATCAAAAAAACAAGGGGAAATGTAGCAGATGTTTTCCCGCCATCATATCGAGCCATAGCATGCGTACTTTTCGCCAAATGAGAATTTCGGAGTTACTCTCTTTGGCAGTCCAGACGTGACCCAGGATGAGGTGAGTATTAAAGAGTGACCGATCTGTGAACCTGCCAATATCGTGGGGGGTTCCCAAGAAACTCACCCTCTTTATTAAATCTTCTCTTCATTGAAAAGAGCAGCATCGTAGTAAACTTGATGGAGTCTCTAGATTAGTTTGAAACGTGAAGATCACCCTGATTGAAATCATTATCTGAATGGACCTATATTCAAGGAGGTAAGCACATGAGGCAGTTGAAGTTTCCCAGAAAACAAGGTCACTTTCCCGCAGGTTTACTTGCATCGGCGTAGACTGTGGGCCAGCCGACGATTCATCTGGGATCCTCATAGATTTTAGGGAGCGATCAATATAGCGCTCTGTATTTCTTCATTGTATTTTACACATTGCTCCAACGTCAAAACCATACCAATGCCAAATGTCCAACAGCATAGCAACGAACGGCCTAGAAACTGAACAGTCCGCTGCGGGCCTTGCCGTATGGATAAACCACCAGTGCGGAAATGAACAAGCCAATTGTAATACCAATTGCTACTTGAACCATACCAAAACCTAGACTGAACAAGGAATTGTTAGACTGCAAACCAGCGCCAGGTGCTGAACTAGCGGCACCATGAGACCCAACGTTTTGGCGAATTTCATCTGCGGACTGTACACCCGAGATGAGAGACCCCGTCGAAGCAAGTCCAGATGGAACCAGAATGAAGATTCCAGGCAGAATAGCGGTCGCAGCGTGCCCATGCCAGAGCCGACTGTACATGTTTCCCATGATGCCGATGACAAACGCACCGACTGTGTTCGCAACCTGGGAGTTTGATCCTAGTTTCTTCGTGCTGAAGTAGTTGCTAATGTAGCCCGACAAAGCGATGATGCTCATAGGTGGGAGCTGTTTCCATTTCCCTTGATTTATGATCAAAATCCAGACGGTCATGATCGCAACGAAGGGGAAGCGTTGAACATATTGATTTTTGAAGGCCCCCTTCGCAGGGCAGGAGGTGTCGGATACCGCATTGTTGTCTATCAGCCCGTAGATGGTGGTGCCAACGGTAATTCCATATCCAATGAACAATGAGAAGAGAAGAGCGTAGACCATCCGAATGGAGCCCGCGATGATCTGATGGGACTGAAGTTCCAAGCTACTACAAAGAACAAGGAATCCCGGCAATATCAATGCAATCGACGATTGCGCAATGGCGGAAAAGCAAAAGAGGTATTCTGGCTTGCCGTCTACAACTCCAAGGGCGATGCTACCGAATGCTCGGGCAAGGAAGGATGTCACAACTGTCGATGTCACTTCAAAGACATTTGAATACAGCACCGAACGAGGCGCGGCGACATGTTGCATCAAACCAACAAGTAGCCCATTGAGAAAAATGATCGGCATATCAATCAACCTAGCACTAAAAGCATAAGGTCCCACAGTTGCCGTGGCCAACCCATACACCAAGACAATGATGACTTTGTGGTACTGAGGTTTTTTCTTGATGACTGAATCAAGCTCCTGGATTGCTTCCTCGATGCCGATCGCATCGTGGATCACATTCTTATAGATCAGATGTGTATCCGATAGGCGAGCCAAATCAACTCCCTGGGCCACGCGAACCAGCTTCACCTCCGTCGTGCGCGTAGAAGGGTCATCGAATGACATGAGCATGCAACCCGGCAGATACAGGAATTGGCTGTCAACCTCCAACACCTTGGCGGTCATCTGCATGTATTCTTCAAGTCTATGTGTGGGAGCACCGAAGAGCATCAATGCTCTGCAGAGCTGCATGATATACCGCTGCCGACAGATAATCTCTGCAATGTGTACGGTCACTCGAATTTCATCCTCGAGCCGAATATTGCGACCTCCACCGCCGCCACCGCCTCCCTCCTTGTCGCGACGCTTCGAGGCTTGTGACAGGATTTCGCTTGAAACAGGAGTGCTTGCACCACTGAAACTGTCCGGACCCCCACCAATCAAGGTCGAGGTCGACGTGTTTTGGGGTTTTTTGTACCATTTCACTGGTTTGGGTTTTCCCTTCTTTCCTGTTGGTGTTGGGGCCCCGCTAGGGACGGATTCTGCGCTGCGGGACGAGTCAGTTGACGTTCGAGACTGACCTCCAGCATCTTGTTGCTGACCACCTTGTAATTTGATCAACTGTGACAAGATCCCGCCGCCGCCAGAGCGATATCTCAAGCTCGCCTCTGCTCCCGTCTCATTCTCTTCGTCTTGGAACTCGGTCCCGGCGTGAGGATAAGGCTTTCCTCGACCTTTGCGGCGTTTTTGGGAATGATCCTGTGTCAGGTCTCGCACCAAACGATGAGCTTCGGAGCTGGTTCCTTTCTGGTGTTGCTTCTTCGTCTCCACGCTTTTATGTTTGTCATCCGTCATGTCAGAGAGGGCAACTGCACCGCCAGTCGCCCAGTCCGCGTGATACCTTCCGGATGTCAAGTCGTCTCCCTCGGCCTGTGGGCGACCCAGACGGTCACCAAATTCTGATGCTTTCTGTCTGAGATTCCTGGTCACCGTTCGCCATTTCTCCCTTGTAGATCGCTGTTCGGTGGGCTCAGGCTCCTTTTTCTCATCTTCTTTTTCCTCGTCTCCCTTCTTCTTCTCCTCTTCCGGTGGCTTGTTCTGGTCTATCCTCTCGATGCCTGACTCGCCGCCTGCCTCCCTGGGCTGTGGCTCACGATCTTGCAGTGATGTTTCGGTGATATCCTCAGATTCGTGGGAGTATGGCATTGATGGTCGATGGGGCAGCGCTTGACTATGGGCATGATCCCACTCTTCCCGCAGACCTACTGCCGGAGGGTCACGCCGAGCCCCCTGCATGAAGCTGGCATTTGATCGAAATCGAATATGAGGTGAGATCTGTTCATCTTGTGGGCTGTTTTGAGGTGCATCCTGCCAAACCTCGGACGAGCTTGTATTTTCTGGGTCCGAGTCATCGTTGAAGCTGCTGAGAGATGCTTCCGACATGAAGGCGATGCGTAGTCTTTCTCCAGCATCTAGCCTGCGATTGTTTGGGAGCAAGTGAGTTTTGGGGTTGTGATATTCTTTCGGTAAAGAGTTTTGAACCGCTCTCGTCTAATGTTTTCGGGAGTTCCGTGCCAACTTGGAATGTCATAGTCGCTAGATGAGCTCACAGAGACGTGATTGGAGTATACGTGTGAACCACGGTCAGCAATTAGCAAGAAATTAATTGTCATGTAGATCAGCAATGTAAGAAACTGTCAACTCCACGGCACTTCCAGCCCTCTCTGCCAGTGATGAGGTATTCTTTGCAGGTGTCGCCTCATCGGAAATCTGTCCCACGCAAATCTCGGACTTGTATTCTTCTCGCCACTTACCACTAACATCAATTTCATCATGCTATTGCTGAAGAAAGATGCATCGACAGCCCGAAAGAGACAGATTGGGACTTCTGGCCCATTGGGCAATTCTCTTTCGCTAATGATTGCATTGTGGATTGTAAATGTGAAACCATGAACTCCCTCGACGGTTAAATCTTTGAATGAAGCGCAAGTTTCGAAATAGGAGTTTTTTACCAAAACGGAAAAAAATCTTGCAAGGTGAAAAGAAATGAATTCAAGATCTGACAACTGATTGGTCTGTGCTGTGCCTATTAGACACAGACATGACACAGATATATATACTGCTAGGATGACTGCTCAACAGATCCCGTCCCAGATCGGAATGCAATTGATTGATTGGTAGTTTCTATGCAGCTAAACATAGAGCAGTAGACCTCTGTGAGATAGAATAACATTCACAAAATTTGTTACCACTTCCACCAAAGGTAGAGAGATGGATCAACCTTCCCTGGTAAGGTCCATGGAGATAAGCTTGGCAGATTATGTCGGCATGGTGTGTCCCAATCATAGTAACATAATCAATGCCCCAACAACGAAGTCGGATAGGTGAGGAGGCATACTTTAGGCTCCATAGCTACCGTTGGCATGGAAGTCTCTATAATCACCTGTGAACCTTGGATGGACGCAAGGGGTGTCGTCGGAAATCTTGATTGTGCCGACATTGAACTTCTTGCCACATGTCTTGAGTCTAGAGCAACATGAACATGCCCAACATTCGTGTTCTAACGATTGTTTGGCGTGGATGCTGATTTCAAGCGTGTTACATAGGATTCAGGGGTGGCAGAAATCAAAACATAGCCTAGAACTTCACCGTTGATCTTTAATACATCCAAGGAGAGAGGTCCAATTTGAGAGAGGAAATTGATGAAAGCATTTGATGCAACTCCAGTTCTTTCATCTTAAGATGATTGAAACATGCGCAGTGCAAAACGAACTCTGAATTTAAAACCATAGTTCATGGCCATACGAGGTTGTCAGTCTTAATTGACACCTAGGGATTTAGTAGTCAGTTGTGGAGGAAGAGGGGTGATGTAGAACAGTGTAAACTCAGCTTAAAATCACAATCTAACCAACTCAGCACTATGAGGGAGGTTATAGCAACGAGATGAGCCCGCGATAGTTTGCCCAAGGGTTGCGAATCCTCAGTCTTGCAAGGGGTACCGACCACTGGCCCTTTCAGTCGGAACATTCAAGGTGCGCCGACAAAGTATACACACATTCTTCATGCGATATGATCTCTATGCGCATTCCAAGATGCTCTGCATGGTATGTCGAAAAAGCTGACATTCAAGGGAATCAATTATATCAACATTCATCCATCCACTTTTCCTCTCTTACTCACTTTGATCTACTTCGAGATTGAGGTGGTTTGTGGTTGAACATGCGGGGTGTCTCTTCTCTAGCTGCAGTAGCAGCTATTATATCTACAGTATCAGGTGCTATTGTGCCTCTGCATTTGGTGCGTGCTGCTGAATCAGATGCACTTTCGTCCAAAACGGTTCAAGCAAGAGCATCAAATGATGACGACCCTCTTAATTGGGATCTTGCATCTTACTTGGCAGATCTTACCGATGCACTACCAACTACAATTCTTCAGCAAGACTCGAGTACCACAGTTTCGTCGGTTGCAGTAATTCCTCTCCCCACAGTCTCAGAATCTCCGTCGAATACTATCTACGCTTCGATGGCAACTCCTTCACCGGAGCTGGCTAGTTCCTCAAAAATGACACATGATACTTCGACAGCAACTAGCGCTATTATCACGGTCATCCAAACCCTCACAACAAGTATAAGGACTTTTACCCCATTACCAAAACCCCACACTCAATCGACAAGAACTAATGCTCCGACCCCATCGTATGTATCATTCAACATTTCCAGACGATGCTTAAATTCTGACCAATCTACTCAGTCCAACATTCCAAGAAGGCCATTCGCACGCGACAAAATCTTGTGCTGCTTCTTCCAACAAATCACCAGAGACCTACTGGCTTGATGAGCAGGACCACAACCAACAAGGAGCAGGGTTTGCTCCCTACGCTAAATCATCGCTCTACCCGGTGTACCGCAATGTGATGGATTACTCAGTCGTCAATGATGGCAGTGGCGATCAAACCATGAAACTGCAGGAGGCCATAGACGATGACGGCGAAAGAGGCAGTCGTAAGGGTCAAGGTGTCACGCGTTACCCTGCCCAAGTCTACCTTCCAGGTGGCGTATACCAGCTTGAAAGCCCTCTCAACCTGACAGTGGGTACTATAATTGTTGGCAATCCGTTAAATCCACCCATCATCAAGGCTGCGCCCGGATTCCGTGGTGACTATCTCATTATGGGGTACGATTCACACAACGGTAACCCAGAAACTAGCTTTGCCATGCTTGTCAAGAACGTGATCCTGGACACGACTGCCCTCGACCCGGATCGCCAGTTCACTGCGCTTCAGTGGGGAGTTGCCCAAGGATCAGGCCTGACAAATGTGAAGATTCGAATGCCAAAAAACTCCATTGGCCACACGGGAATCGCCCTCAACGCTGGGTCAACAATTGCCATTACGGATGTGGTAAGTTATCCTGATGACAACGAAGAGAAGAAAAAGCAGCCTAACAACGTGTAGCATATTATTGGCGGATTTGTCGGGATCAAGAACTCCAACCAACAGGTCAACTTCAAAAGCATCTATTTCGAGTCTTGCAGAACAGCTTTCTCCGCAGCAGGTGGCTGGACTGTGCTGCTCCAACAGGCAACCTTTGATCGCTGCGGCACTGGCATCGATATGACTGGTAATGGATTGGGTAGTCTGGTGCTTCTGGATTCCACTTCCACCAACACTGGACCAGTAGTCAGATTCCATGACTCGTCCCATGATTCCGGAAACAAAAATAGCCAATTCCTCATCCAGAATCTCGAGCATGATACTTCGAACGCTATCGCAGTCGACGCGGAGGGAAATGTGGCACTGGCCGCTACCTCTCATGTCGATACCTGGGTCTGGGGTACTGTCGCTTCAGAGACCTATGAGACTGGGGAAAGCCGGAACACAAAGCGCCCGGCCCCTTTGCTGGTGGGAGACAAATACTTTACGAAGGCCCAGCCAACCTATCAAGATTACAGCACGGCGGACATTGTGAATGTGAAGACCGTATCTGGACACACAGTGAAAGGTGACGGTAACACTGACGACACCAAAGGTCTGAACGCTATCTTGGCTGAAAATGCCGATTCGTGTAAGATCACATACATTCCCTTTGGTGTATATCGAGTCTCAGATACTATCTTTGTCCCAGTCGGAACTCGCATTGTCGGAGAAGCATGGGCCGTCATATCTGGATATGGCGACAAGTTCAAGGATTCGAACAATCCGAGGCCTGTTGTTCAACTTGGCAACCCCGGCGACATCGGGATGATTGAAATCCAAGACATGCGATTCTCGGTCGGCGAGATCCTCCCGGGGGCCAAGATCATTGAAATCAATGCTGCAGGCGATCAGCCTGGCGATGTTGGTCTTTGGAACACGATGGCGATGGTGGGGGGAACCGCTGATACCAGCATCGCCAGTGCTTGCACGTCACAAGATCCAAAGGACTGCATGGCCGCGTTCATGGTGATGCACCTGACCGAGAGCTCTTCTGCATATATCGAGAACTTCTGGGGATGGACCGCCGACCACAATCTTGACAGCGAGTCACTTTTCACTATCATCTCAACTGGCCGTGGAATCTTGATCGAGTCCACCAAGGGCACCTGGCTGACAGGAACCGGTTCCGAGCATCACTGGCTGTACAACTATAACTTCCACAACGCTCAGAACGTCTATGCGGGTCTTTTACAAACAGAGACACCCTACATGCAAGGTCAGGGCGAGTACGAGGCTGCGCCAGCGCCATGGACAGCCGTTGCCAAATACGGCGACCCTGATTTCTCGTGGTGTGCGGCAGAAGACCAAAAGTGTCGCACTGCGATGGCTACGAATGTGGACGGTGGATCTGACATTGCGCTATACAACTCCGCTGCCTGGGCCTTCTTCGATGGATATTGGAATGGCCTGTATAATGAGCCTTGCAACGGGAACTGCCAAACCAACATGATGCGGGTGACGAATAACCCTCAAAATCTGGTTTGGTACTCGATCAGCACGCGCATGACGGACGTGATGGTGCTCGATGGGAGGAGCAATCCCCGTGAAGCTGACCACAAAGGCGGGTGGGGAGCCATCATCCAGGTTTATAGCCAGTTTACCGCGTGATGTTGGGCATTTAGTGTTGTTTTTTGCATCATCATTGGACATATGCATTTGGTTAGTAATTTAAATCATAGATGATCTTTTAATGATGATCTTTTAATGAAAAAGTTCATGAACAATCAAAACACTCCACTAGCCAAAATCCTTTATTCCAGCATGTTCTCCCCCGACGTGTCTTTTTTTAGTGTCGCCGCGACACGTGACTCTTTGTCTTTGCCTCAGGCAAAACGGTTAATCCGCCCCCCAGCAATTCTACAGCCAGTCATGATTCACCAAACTCCTCTGCTGTCCCCTAGCAATAAAGGCACTCAAGTCTGCTATGTGACGCGTCATGGAAGCCCTTGGCTATCCCCTTGGCTATCTCTCGCCATCCGAAACTGCCATAGGGGCTGATATACAACATACTTGGAAATTGCAAGCAGGAAGATCTGTTCTAATTACGGTGACGGGCGCCGAGACTTGTATATCCAATCCAAGGCAAGAGTGATCCACTATATCGGTATGATTCGCTTTCAAGGGCACCACTTTTTTACTGATTTTCTACCACCAAGTTAACTGATGGAGATCAGATGTCAGCATAGTGCCGTGGTCTCCGAAGCGAATCGAATGTTTGGGACCCAGAAGGCAGCAAAAATACCTAAAAGATTGCAACGACATCCTTTTTTCACTGCGGGCAGTGTTGCATTGCCCGCGAGCAAGGCAAATCAAGCTCATACGAAGACAAGCACGTCTGTGTTGTAGATTTTGCAGGTGTTCCCTGGGGGCGAGGGAACGAGGGCGATGAAACAGCCCCATAACTGCGCCCTCATCACGAAGTGGACCCCGAGATGACGATGTCATTGCCCAAACCCGTATGGTGGGACCCCCGGTGCAGTGCTCTAACACGGTACGGTCCATACTTGAGTACCAGTGCATAGCCTCTTTATCCATTAATGGACCCTATGATCGACATCAGAAACCCTCTTGATAGGGCTGAGGTCATGTCGCCACGGCCACAGCCACCTTGTCTGCCTAGCATCCATGCGCAATTAAAGTCCGATGTTTCTATCTATAGGAAACTAAGAGTCATTCACAAAATTTACAAAAGGAAAAGTTCTCCCCCGGATTTCTAGCATACAATTTCAATTCGAAAATTTAACTCCTTACAATCGAGATCATCCCATTACTCACATCAAACACCCTCACAATTGACTCTTGTCTCCCTGTCCACTAAAATGAAGTTCACTCTGATCTCCTCCGCCCTCTTCCTGGCGACTGCTGCCATGGCCTCCCCGGACGGTATTGACGTGAACTCTATCGTCTCCGACGTCGAAGGCATATACTCAACTGCCGTCGGCGGCGGCCAATCCATCGGATCCGAAATCGCCTCCAAGGCCACCTCTTTCGCCGAAGCCGTGAGCACCGGCGGAGCCGCCGCCATCTCATCCATCAAAAGTGAGGCTTCTGCCCTCGCCAGCGAAGGCCGCTCCATCGGCTCTGAGATCACCAGCCGTGTTGCCACCGCAGTTTCGGCTCAGACCACTCTGGCCGACTCCGCCGGTTCCGCCACCGCTACTGAGTTCACTACCATGACCAGCGCAGTCTCCACCGGGTCCGCGTCTTCCGGCTCTTCCGGCTTTTCCTCCACATCTGACAACGCGGCCTTTGCTCGTCCCACTGCTGTCGGCGTTGTTGCTGCTGGTATGGCCGGTGTGCTGGGTCTCATGGTTGCACTGTAAAGTGTTGATACGTTGCTCTGTTCATTGATTTAATGATTTAATTTAAGGCACGATATCCACTGTGCTATGCCTTCGCTTTACGACATTCCTCAACTGTTTGTTCGCCATTTTCTTCCTCGTGCCAAGGAAAAAAGGCCCAATACCAGCGTTTTTTTTTTCGGAAACTGTACATATAAACTGACCGCAATGTATAAAACCTACTCTTGGTCAAAAATCTCGACCACATCAATTCATTCAATCTACTCATTGTTAGTCCCACGACCAATAGGCATGTGTTGAAACCCCTTTAAATCCAATTGGACACATTTGATAGATATTCCAGGTTAGCAGCCTTTCTCAGGTGCACTACTCGAACAGAGACATGACCTGAAGGCACATTAAAAGCGACATTAAGAGAGAGGTCCCATTGAGCATTAGTACCGAGGCTACCAACAACAGAACAGAGACAAACTTGTGCAAGTTCACATAGCAAGGACGATGAAGCAACACAATCACCCACCCCTTCATCTCCGAAACAAGGAGCTGAAACACCGGAAATCGAGTCACCAGATCACCCCTCCGTGTCAGAGAGCATCACATAGCCAACATACGCTTGCTCCGTTGGTCTTTCTAGTAGCGTGGCTACCAAGAGGCCATCAGAACCAGGATCCGAAGTTAATGGATTGTGCGAACTCACATTGCTCACGACGCTGTACCCTGAGGGTATAAAACCATCCCACAACGAGATAGGCATTGATATGAGACATAAAGAACACCCTTGAAATGCAAATACATCTTAATTAGTCACATCGGCGCCCATTTGTGATGGCAGCTCTTGCCAGTTCTTGACCATTTTGGACCAAGAACAACGACTTTGCGATAGGGAATTTGGCTGGGCCTACCATGTCCGACTCCCTAGGTCAGAGATCTGACAACACTCCAAAGGCTATTTTCCGAGTCCCCACGATGAGTGGTTGGGTGACTTGGAGAGGGCTGTTATTTTAGACATCGTATAATTTGAACAAGGATGGCAACGGGGTAAAAATGAAGACTGTGATGGAAACAATAACATAACGGTTCCACCAGGATTTGACCATGACGTCGAAAATACAGTTCCAGTTTCGTTAGGCCAATAAACTCTGTCGAGACATAGTTATGGCCTTGATCTTACTGAGCCAATCGGTATACATGAGATCAGCGGGTCACATGTATGCATTAAGGACAAGCTGGAAAAAAGTAGACGTGTCTATGAGGCACACAAATAAATGCAAATAAAACCCCGAGTGAATGTGTTATGGAAGGGCAAGACCGATTGGAACAGAGAGTTATAACGATGGCAGATATCGAGAGAGAAAAAAATCACTATTACTTGTGGTCAAAAGATCCGAGTGCCTCGGTAGGGAGCGCATGGGGAGCTGGTACGAAAATGATATTGTCTGAAGCAGTAGAAGCACTCTCGTCGACAGTCATATGGGGTCCAATGTACCATCGCCGTGCGAAAAGGAAATAATAAGCCATACACCCAAACCAAACGAAGCCGTTGATTACGATGGTGTAGTTCATGTTGGACGCTATGGGTACGGAAATCATTAGCCATCCGATTGAGCGACTTTCTAGTGTTCAAATACGTACGAGTTGGACTGGGACCCTCTGTCGGGAATACAGACAAGATCACCCCAAAAAGGAGATAGACAACGGCCACCCATGCAATAGGTCTACTGTACCGGCCGGTGTAGAACTCTCCGGGGGTGAACCTTTCCTCGCCCCAGACCAAGCGGCAGAATATCGGGGTGCCCCATGATAGATAGTTGCTTGCTACAAATAGCGAGAATAGGGCAAGTTGATCAGACACAGCAGGCCTAGCAGCATGGAGACAATCACTAAGCCACAAATCATGCGTACCGGTTGGTACTGGATGCGCTTACTGACATGGCGGAAGAACCTAGAAAATGGAAGTGCGCCATCGCGAGAAAAGGCCCATGCTTGGCGGGAAGCAGCCACAATCAAGCTGAGACCGACGAGGAACTGAATGATGCAGAGTACAGCCATAAATGCCAAAGCACCCTCTCTGCCTACTGCGTCATAGTAAATTTGAGCCATTGGCTGACCGAACTTTGTGCTGATTGTCGCGCTTACGTCCGGGTTCATCGTAGCAGCAATGATGGACAGCACTAAGAAGCCAAGCACAGATGCCGAACCTGCCGACCAGATGATTCCAAGAGGTACAGCCTTGGATGCATGCATAGCTTCTTCGCTCATGTGCACACATGAGTCAAATGAGCCGATTGACCAAATTGGAGCGAGCCATGCCAACATAAATGCCCATCCGGCCGGCCATGTAGTCTCGTTGTCGATACGACCATAGACGTAATGGCCAGAGTTAAGGGACCCACCTCGTATCACTTTTCCAACCGGCAAAGCGATTACAGTCGCAACGACGAGGGCAATGTTAATATAGATGCAAAATGTCTGGATTCTTGGCATCAAACGTCCACCCAAGGAACCGCAAAGCCCGTGGAAGAGGATTAGGCCGACGTAAACAGCATAGATGACGCCGCGCGAGGCAGACCATCCATCTCCCCGTGATATCGACACGCAGGAGAGGATCATGAGTGCGAGGGTATCTGCACAACAAGCATCAGCGATGTGAATCGAGGGCAACAGGTATGGATAATCCTCACAGTCCACCGAACACATGCCACCGATCAAACCCAATGTGTTACTATATCCGATCAAGAAACTCAATGGGTTCTTCCACTTTGGTCCGGCAAAATAATGTGTCCACCAATACAGCCCTCCAGCTGTCGGCATGGCAGACGCGAGAGCAGCCTAGACAATATCAGTGCGATGGTTCCACAGATAGCCCCAATCAAAGTTTCTAACATTGCCAACCCGACCAACACGATGAATATGCTCGCCGTGAACCATCCCTATTCCATACGCCGAGTCAATCAACAACACGACCAGACTGACAAGGATTCAACCCATACCCAGACCATGCCAACCGGACCCGCGGGGAGAGAGAACGAGAGTGTCGACGCGATAGAGGGCACCAGGCCCATGATGCTAAATGCGATAGCGAAAACCTGCGGGGTGGAATAGTGTCGACGAAGTTCCTGCTTGTAGCCCATCCGTGCTAGAAAAGGCGTTAGAAACCAGGAGTCCTCACAAAAAGAAAGCATACTGTCATACCCAGTAGCTGCACATCCCCGGCATCTGCTCTCGCGTGAGTCGCGACCGGTGCGACTGCCTCGGTGTTGGCAGGTTGCGAGTCCATCATTCACACCTCGGCTCAGGTAGGTGATGAGACGCACATGGCGGGGATAGATGACTTAAATGCCATATCAACCGGGAGTCAAGTCAAGGGATCTTGTAACGCATCTTCCCACGCCAAATGTAGGATTGGCCAACCATCGGTGGCCGTCTCCAATAATTGCGGTTTCCTGCAGGAGACGGGACAGAGTGATCTGGCCCTTGCGTTCGAGGTGCAAAGGCGCCAATGTGGGGCATTCGTGTCCTCCCGTCGATTATCGAGAATGTTGACGCTGTGAGGACGGCTGATCTGCACCGATTCTGAGACCTCAATGCCTATTGAGTGAGCCATGTCTATTATACCAGCTAACTTGAAATTTGGTTCAATTTGCCAATCCTTACAAGCTTGGACGATTTGCTGAAGTTCTTAACTCCAATATTCAATGCCAGCAAATTCCAATTCATTTTCTGCCCTCAATGACATTGATGAACTTTACCCAGCCTCATCATACCGCATGTGATGGAGAGTGACTCTACTATATGCCTGGAGAAAATTGTCCACCGAATCCAAGGTTGCTTCGGTTGTGGCCATCTAGGCGAAAGCCAGGTTTTCATCGAGCAGCTTTCGAACGATGGAGCAGCATTAAACATTCTCATCGAACGGAACGTCTCTTCTCGGACTTAGGGGTGAAGGGACATTGGCGGTGATGGTATGCTCTGAGCCAATCGACGACTCTTTTCTAGCTACCTCTTCCTCGTTATAATCCTGGCCAGGGTTGATCCTTTCCCAGCGCACAAGACGAAGGAGTTTGTAAAATCCAGAGGCCAGAAGGGATCCGAGCAATGGACCAACCCAATAGATCCAATGGTATCCCGGAAACGAGCGGTTGATCACATCCGGTCCGAGGGAGCGAGCAGGGTTCAGAGATCCTCCGGTAAAGTAATCACCTAGCGTGCAGGGTTAGCACAATACGTGGAGATAATCAATCTGTGATTGTTACTTGCCAACCAATTCTGCAACAAAGAAAGCCAGACCAATTCCGACTGGAGCTAAATAGGTGGACTTGTGCTTCACCACCGCCAACATGATAATGACGAAGACAAGCTGCGCCGTCAAGAACATCTCAATGAAGAGTCCTTGCGAAATCGATGCGCCACCGCCGAGTCGTGTTGCGCAGTTGAGCGGGCCCGGAAACAGGGCACTCACCACGCCTGCAGCAGCAATTCCGGCGACCAGTTGCGCAGGGAATACACACAACCCCCGAAGAGGGGGCATACCACCGCTCAGGCAGAGAGCAAGCGTAACCTAGTGAGTGTCAGCTACAAAGATTCCCATTCCTGTGTGGTGATGCCCATACCGCCGGGTTGAAGAGACCACCCGTGACTCGGAAGAACGCCCAGACATTGACGGTTAGAGCGAATCCAAAACACAGCGCTGAGTACATTAAGTTCGAAGTATTCGGCGGGGAGCCAGGTGGCGGCATTGGGGTATTGGACACCTGTGTACCCGCGAAAGAAAAGAAGAGGAACAGAAAAGTCCCCACGAACTCGCCCATCAGGCAGAGCAAGTTATACCGCAGCTTGTCCGGTAGCCGCAGCATGGGCAGCTGGCCATGTCCTCCCGTAGCCATGGACCCTCCAATTGTCGAGGTATCGGATGAGTGGCGTTTCTTGAACAGCATCGCGAGTTGTGAAGGGGTGACGGGAACTAATCGAAACCGAAGGTGACTACTGTCTCGTTCGAATGAGAACCTCGCGGTCTCTTCAATCATCCGTCGTTCTTCGCCTTTTTGAACCGCTACAAATCACAGACGTCACTACTCCAAACGGGCGGAGTTGCGACTGGTCCATGTATGATCGATTAGCACTTGACTCGACCACGATCAGAGCTTATTTATAGCAGTTGTCCCTTTTACCAGGTGCAATGGGATGGGATCAAATTGATTTCTCCCGTATAGAGTAGGATTATTCAAGTTAGGATTTTCGGTGGAGTCCATAGCCGTTGAATGGGGAGCAACCCGACTTCCGCAAACGGTTCTGAAATTAAATTGTCTAGACCTCCACACGCGTCATTCTCCCCGGATTTTGCACTGGTCGATAGAAGCCATCGGTCTTCTCCATGTGTTTATAGAATCATGTGATTGACCTAGCTTAAAACCGAGGAGATCTAGATCCAAATGGTCTCGTCTAAACGCCTTTTAGAGTTGGCAAACTCGGACTCGGACTTGACCAGCGCTATACGAGTGCTAGCGGGTTAGGTGATCTAGAGGTGAAGGACTGGACCATGATAGAATCTCCGGCTCAATCAAGAAGATCATGGATCTAGCAATTCGCAGCGGCAGAACGGTTAAACCGGCAGCTAATCCGTGTAGTTCATTCTCAGTACTTCGTACTCTCCGGACAGAGCAATGAAGATCTGACTTTTTCAAGGTCACCTGCCCAAACGTGAGTAATCAAGTTTACCTAATGGCTCGGCAGGAACCGGGCCGTTGGACCCGACATTCTCGCGTGGCCTGACCATGTCGACTTCACATGACTCAGTGCTCCGCATGGCGTATTGAAAAAAAAAAAAAAAAAAACAAAAGGAAAGAAGAAGAAAATAGATAAACCAGCCTCATCGACGGATGTTGCTTTTTGCTAGGGAGATATACTCCGTACTGTAGCGGGATCCTACAAGATCTGTATCTTGACTGATTACCAACGTGACGAAGCGGTGAGACGGAATAGCAGAGTCCCAACATATCCAATAGGAAATTGATATGGCTCCAGAGCTTTCTAGGTTACGTAGAGCCACCGTCATTTCTTGGAGCTCCGATTGTCTTTATTTTTCGCTGGCAGAATCACCCCAGTTCTCACGGACTGCCAGGATCTAGATCGACGAGTCTAACTGAAGGTGGGTCAGATCTTAACCTGTCATGCACTGTAAATTTATAGATTCATCATATTCAAATGACCTTCCACGTGTATTCTGGGGAGGCCAATTCAAACTTGCGACACAAATTTACGTAGTTGGGCAAGTTTCAAGATACAATGAGCGAAATCAGACCGAGTTGACCCCTTTCTATTGTATTCCCCTCTCCGCGGGGCTCTCCGCGGAGATGTCTTCACTTCGGCACTTAAAATGCTCATCAATCATGCCAGACGCCTTCTGAGTTTTATAAAATCCCGTGTGCTAGCGATCCAGGTACGGTGGAGATAAATAGCTGGACAACCAACCAGACGCAGCTAGTTTCTTATTACTCACATATCCCGACTCCCAAGGTTGTTTATATTTAAACCCCTGTACCAGCCATTGAACAGTACAGACATCCAACGTTTTCTTTCGTCAATCACCCAAATATTATAGATCTACACATCATGAGTTCCAATCCAGGAATGACCCCAAACCAAATTGCGCTCATCAAGGCGACGGTTCCGGTTCTCGCAGAACATGGCAACACCATCACGACCGTCTTCTATCGCAATATGCTCGAAGCCCACCCGGAGCTGAACACCGTATTTAACACTGCCAATCAGGTCAACGGCCATCAGCCTCGTGCGTTGGCTGGTGCACTCTACGCATATGCGTCGCACATCGATGATCTCGGCGCACTTAGCTCAGCGGTTGAGTTGATCTGCAACAAGCACGCCTCTCTGTATATCCAGCCCGACGATTACAAGATCGTTGGAAAGTACCTCCTCGAAGCTATGGGCGAGGTGCTTGGCGCAGCATTGACCCCGGAAATTCTCGACGCATGGGGCACAGCCTACTGGCAGCTCGCCGATATCTTGATCGGCCGCGAAAAGCAGCTTTATGAACAAGCCGAGGGCTGGACTGACTGGAGGGATTTCAAGATCGTGAACAAAGTCAAGGAATCCGAGGAAATCACATCCTTCTATCTCGCTCCTGTCGATGAAAAGCCATTGCCGGTCTTCCAGCCCGGCCAGTACATCTCCGTTCAAACGCACGTCCCCGCTCTCAAGTGCCTGCAGGCTAGACAGTACTCTCTCAGCGACCAGCCAAAGCCGGACTACTATCGCATCAGCGTGAAAAGAGAATTGGGCCTCAACCCAGCTGCTCCAGGTGCTGCCGCCCATCCGGGTTACATCTCGAATGTGCTACATGACACATTCAACATCGGCGACAAGCTTAAGGTGTCACACCCCTGCGGCGACTTTTTCCTTACCCCTGTCGACTCGGAAGCCGGCAATCCAATTGTGTTAATCTCAGCCGGCGTGGGCTTAACGCCACTGACGTCGATGCTGAACACCTTGATCTCCAAATCGCCAACAACGCGCAAACTGCACTTCATCCATGGCGCACGTTCGTCGGGCGCGCGTGCTTTCAAGGAGCACATCTCTGAGCTTACAACACCATTCCCCTCTATTCGAACAACATTCTTTACTAGTCACCCCTCCGAGGGAGAGAAGGAAGGCGTGGACTATGACCATGCCGGGCGGGTGGACTTGACCAAGGTGGATGATCAAGGCTTATTCCTCGATGATGCCAAGACAGATTATTATATTTGTGGACCCGGAAAGTTCATGATCGATGTCGAGTCGGGTCTCAAAGCCAGAGGCGTGGGAGCTGATCGCATCAAGATGGAATTGTTTGGAACCGGAGGTATTCCTCATTGAGTTCGGAGTAATCTTGAACCAAATGATTTCGTTCTTTGTTCATTTGTCAGTTGTGAATTTGGCGGGTAGAGCTACATATCTCATCTCTTGAAACTTCAAATCTTGACGAATTATAGAAATCAGATCCCTGCCCAAGGTTGGTGTACCCTTCTGCTGACCAAGCAATAATTTTGAAGGGGGACAATTATGGAGCACACCCAGTTAGATAGGACACACTTGAATTTTTTTTCTTAAATAGCGGTGAAAACCTGGCGCAACGGGGTGGTGTATTAGCAATCCTCTTTTTAAAAAAAAAGTCACGGATCGACATCCATGGATTCATAGAGAAACCAAGTTCAGAGTCATTGCATTCGATCAATGCTGCCATGGACCGAATACTGATCTCTATTTAAAATCATGCGATCACGAAACATAGGATATAAAGGCTCAAATAATCACCCAGTCAAGTGCATGGTCGAAAACAGTCCTAACCGCAACCTACCGACTGAATTATCCTTCTATCATCCTCACCTTAGATCAACATGAGTGCCAAAATAGGTATCTTCCCCGCCTCTGGGGCCCTTGGATCAAGCATCGTGAACCACCTGGCGAAACTAGTCCCAGCATCCGACCTAGTTCTGAGTGCTCAACGCCCCGAGAAACTGCACGACCTCAAGCAAGCTGGTGCCACGGTACACAAAGCAGACTATGATGATCCATCAACACTAGTCACAGCCCTTGGTGGTATGGATGTCTTGATGTTGATCTCATATGCATCATTCGAGATAGATCACAGAGTCAAGGTAAGGGGAATCAAGTGACACAGCCAACTCAAGTAGATGGCCTAGCAACGATAACCAGGCACACCGTCTTGCTATAGATGCAGCCATAAAGAGCGGCGTCAAGTACATCTTCTACTCCTCTCTTGGATTCGGCGGTAATCTGACTGACCAAACCATCGCCCATGTGATGGGCGCTCACATCGCTACAGAGAAATACCTCTCTTCCCTGCAGGATAAGCTATCCTATACTATAGTCCGCGAGGGTCTCTACACTGAATCCTTCCCGATTTATACCGCATTCTTCGATCCGCAGAATCCAGTGGACGAGGTGACGATCCCTCACTCGGGTACAGGCCCGGGCGTGGCATGTATCAAGCGCGATGAGCTTGGCGAGGCATCCGCTAATCTGATTGCCTCGTATGTCAATGACCCGACCAGCTTCGAGTACTCGAACACGGCTGTTCTGCTCTCTGGGTCTCAGGAGATCTCTCTTGTGGAGTCAGTTGAGATTATCGGTCGGGCGATTGGGAAACCGCTCAAGATTCGTGAGATCTCTATCGATGAGCATGTGAAGCTTCCTCAGATTGGAGATCAACACACATACAAGGGGGTGAATCCGTCGAGGGACTGGGCTACGGCCTGGGATGCTATCAGGCAGGGTGAGGCTGCAATTGTGACTCCGGCGCTACGCGAGGTCTTGGGGCGTGAACCGGAGAGCTACGAAACTACTGTGAAGGCGCTGTTTGGGTGAGGCTCTGCAGGCTGCCCCTATTGGAACGTGTGTGCACAAGGTACTTAATAGAGTGGTTTTATCGAAAATAGAACAAAGATTCGAGAAGTTTCAGACGCGTTAACTTTGGTGTGTGTGATACATGCAGTATGTGCAGTTAAACGAAATGACAAGGTAGAAAAAGGCGTGTGTTAACATGAAAATTCTCACTAAAAGCACAAGCATCTCTCATCAAGCCCTTCTATCATCCCGACCCAGCGTCAAAACCGTGTAGATATTTAATCGGAATAATTCTTCAGCTCCTTAACATAGAGGTTCAAGGCGCGGTAGGTAGAGCTGTGAGAACCGTACCAATAGATCTCCTTGACCTCGTTATCACCGTAGCCCTCAACGGCAAACCAGTCCTTGCCGTCATAGGTGAACAGACCCTGGTCGTTGACACCAAATGCAGTAATGTTGCCGCCCGCGGGGACCGCACCTGAGTGAGGCGCAGTCAGACCAATAGGCAAAACATCGTTCTCGATAACGTAGAGGTTCTGGAAAGCGGTAGGAACACTGTTCTGGGCAGTGTATGTGACGAGGCCATTGGGGCTGCCGCCACGGACTAGAAAAATCATATCATGTTAGGGAGTGAATTAAGATCATGCACGGCTGGAAACTTACGGATCAGAATCTCATGGTCGGTGGTGTTGGCGCCAATGTAGGCGTTCTGGCCATCGGTCAAGACGGTGTAGCCGCCGTCAGCAACGAGAGTGAACGCGTTGGGAAGCTTGGCGGCGCTGATGGCGCCGACGAAGGCGGTGATGGTGGCAAGGGAGAACTTCATTTTTGTAATTTGAACTTGTAGAAGTGTGTCTGATGATAGACTGAACGAGAAGGACAAGAGTCTTTTATGTACCCCCAAGAGCCATAGAGTTTAAGCCAAGACCTGCCTCTGCGGGTTGGCGTCATAAAACTGGGCATGATTCTATTTTTAAAATAGAGTGGCTGCTCCAAAACACTCTGCCAATTATATTGGATAATCATTTCGCGATATTGAAACATGTCTTGCAACCCCTCATGACAAAATGATCTACTCCAGATGTCGACATTTGTCGTCGAAATAGCGATTCAGCCTATTCCACAGAATCTCACATGTCTATCAGAGAGAGGTCTATGAAGTGAGAGGTATCGAATGCATGGTTTGTTGAAAGATTGAATTGTTGATGAGGCTAACTTGCTACGATACGGAGCTTGAGATTTGACGATTTCATATAACTTTGATCGACTGTGCCTATCAAGCTACTCCTGAGACCCTGAATTTTACTCAAACCTCCGACAGACCCTTCATATCCGGTTAAAACCCGGATATATATAACTAGTTACTTTCCGAAATGTGAGACTGAGTCCACTAAGCCCCTGTCGATCTTCAGGTTTGGCGAGCATGACTGTTGTATGTTGTAATTTTATCGATCCTCATTCTATGAGTTGATCCAGTTTCCCAGTTTCTAGGCCGACTATTTTTGGCATTAATTGTTGTTTGTCGCTCGCCCATCAGACCCCCAACTCACGAGTATCGACCCGAAGGCCAATATTTGCTCGGAGAGACTTGTGGATCCAAATTTTGGCAGATAAAAAAGGTTGGCTAAAGAAACTAGCATTGGTTAACATAACCACGATGCTCCAAGCAATTCCCTTCTCTTTAGAAGCCTAATGGAAACCGTTGTATTTAGGATCGGACCACGCGGGCGAGGCTTTTCTTGATTCAAACTCTAATCACACTGCGATCTATATTTCACCAGCCAAGGTAGCCATAGTCGACAAATATATGTTGTGATCTAAAATCGAAAAGGGGCATCACAAATAGATTCCAACAACAATTCCTTTATCTGCAAGTCAATCCAGCAAGATGGTAGCCATATCACACGTCGAAAATCACTTGCGCAGGCAGGAGTCATCAAGGGCATATTTCGAATCGGATCCTCTTAAGAGACTTACTGCTTATGGGTGACTGCCGGAGAGCGACCAAACGCATCTTTGCGTAGTGTAAGTAAAATAATTCATGTCGGATGCAATTCTAGCAATTTCAAAGGTTTACGGAGTAAAATCGACTTGATTAACCAAGGGGGCTTCAAGGTTAGGTTAGTCCTAAGCCTTGTGGCTCTTGTGTTGTGCCTGAGGCATCTGAACAACCAGGTCATGTGCCCACCATCTAGAAGTTAAAAAGTGCACGCCACGTAGCATAAGTTGGTGAAGACATACAACAATAGCAAGATAGTGTGCTATGTATAGGATTGTACTTTTGCGCCACAGCTCGGAAGCTGACGTGGCATACTTGCCACGTGACCACCACCAAATCCTATGGTCGTGGCCTCAGGCAACATTCTATTGCCTGAGGCATAACACCTCTCAAGAATCAACTCTCTCCCTCCTCTCTTTCGGACCCTACTATTGCAGAGCCCCCAACAAACTACGATAGTGCAAAAAATCCCCTATCGCTCAGCCTAGAAATAATTTAAAGATATGGCATCTTTATATTTACATGTGCGAAATTTTGCACAGAACACAGCACAAAAGTATCGTCTGAATCAACTGCAATTTTGCCGAGCATGACAACAGTCTGCATTCCAGATACGCTCCCCCTACTCCTATTTGTACTCCATACGCCATGAAGAGATCGACACGCTTAATTGATCGGAACGTTTTGTCTGCGTACTTCGTGCTAATGGGTTTGGTCTCGGGTCTGGTAAATAAGTTGCAGTGTTTTTGTTCGATCAATTATGCGAGATTGGTAGGCTGGGGATTACTAAAGGTACCCTGGAAGTTTGCAGTAGCGAGCTCTTGCAGAATACCAGCCACTCATATTATTGTCTAGGGGTTTATACGGAGCAGTCACAATTGCATTCCCCCTTTGATTAACCCCGGAGATTTGATCAAATATGCGCTCGTTGAACCCCGAATCGAGGAAAACACTCACCCTGCAACCTACCAATTCACTTTTTCTGAGATGATCGTAAATCTTGTTCCCGCTATATGTCAGATCTTAGTGCCACGCCTCAACCGGATAATGTGCGTCGTGGAGCACACCAATCGTCTCCTCAATCTCAGCCCATCCTACCCCTAGGTCTAGCGGTACGTCGCCAAATTGTTTTTGGGATTGATGGTTTACAAAGGATCGAATGGAAACGAGAACACATTGTACTCCGTGATCCGTACGCCGTACTCCGGACACTGATACGTATTGTGAATCAGAAATTCGAAAGTGGATCACGCATTTAGATGGGTACCCGCAAGTGGATCACTTGCCGGACCGTATGATGTTGTACCTGATTTGGGTGTTGAACCCGAGCATAAGCCGTGCGTCGCTCAGCGGAAGCAACTTTCACTAGTCGGACGCAATTCGACTTGCTAGTAACGTGTATGAAGAGCTAAGGGCTTTACTTTCTTCCAGTAACCATAATAATAGCAATTAAAGCAATTATGAAAAATTTAGAAACAGTCATGCTCATCACAAAGGGCGGACTACTGAGCAACAGCGTCCTGGTAAGGCAATTGTTTGGCCTAGGGCTCTAACAAATTTCATGAAAACCATATCCAATCTTTGCATACTTGACAGATGGGAAATAAGCGAGCATCAAGTACTATTGCTGCCTTTAGTTGAATCGGACTTTGGCCCCTAGAAGTTGTTCAAAGATCCGATGCTAGATTTATCCCAGAATCTCACCCCAAAGCCAGCGATTTCAAGGTGTAATTAAGCCAGGTTAGTCTTGGAGTGCAATTCGACGAAACAAGCTTCTAGGCGGGGACAGCTTGCCTCCAGTTCTGTGAATGTGAAGTGCTAATACCAATATACACGGACGGCAAAGATTTTATCCTCCCGTGTAGTCTTCCTGACGTCGGATCCGGACAGGCCTATTTTGGTCAAAAGCCATCTTGGTTATTGATCAAGATCCAGCCGCCGGGAATCAAGATCCAGAAACGATAGTCGGGGCCGGAATCGAGTCAAGATCCGTGTTTTTTGTGCAGATGACAGGTCTAGCGTCCGTTATTGCTCCACTGGGTCAAGGCGCGGGTGGACTGACCCTCATCGTCCTCATCTTCGAACATACAGTGACACAGGGGTAACGGGTCGCCTGCAGGGTGCCGACTTAGTCTCGGACTACATGACTCGGTACGGACATAGAATGGTGCAAATTTTAAGGTTATGATAGATCTGAGATGCTAAGGGGTCGAAATGTTGGTAATTAGCCACAAAGTCTAACAATGCATCTATTTGCAATCGTCAAGAACTGTATTGGCAAAGACTTCCTGAAATCCTGAAAGAAGAAAGAATACAGTCGGATTTTCGTAGCATCGGGCAGTATCAGGAGACGAACCCTCATGCCACAAAATGCGGAAGTGTTGACCGGACGCCAAACTGGAGAAATGGACTCCGTCTGCGATTCGTGTGAAATCTCGGTTTGTCACAGGAGCTTTTCGCGTGGACTCGGTGGACATCGGGTTCGAGGGTAGGGCGAGGGGCAAAGGGTAGGAGAGCATCCGAGTCACCCCACTGATCCCAATAGCAAGTGGAGTAGTTTTGGGGATGAAATTTGAATAAGCAGGAATTCCCTGTTTCGCTACTGGACGCTACGGAGGTCTCGTGGCGGCACTACGGAGTAACTCTACGTCTAGTTCTTACACTTTCTTTATTATCCTATCAATCCAAAGCAATCTGATTTAATACATCTGGATCTGACACGTTTGTTTTGGATGTTCATCGTAAATCGTCACAAGAAATAGGTGGCGCCGATTTTCAGTGAGACCGACAAAAGTACTATGCTGATGAGACCTACGGAGTACACATTGCGGCGACTTGGCCACAAGCGGCAAGGCAGAACTTGACAGCATTGCCAAGTATACATGGCCTTTCCACGAAAAATTATGGGCGTGTCAAACCGTCATTATTTACTGTAGAGTTACTATAGATACACCGTAGTGGCGTGTTTAAGTCGGTGATAACCAGTTTTGACGTATCAATGTTCTTCAGCATTGCTACCATATCAATTTACGTATCTCGGCGTTCGGACATGATATCTCGACATTTTCGTACAGCTTTTATAGGAGTCACCGGCCAATGACGTATAGTATAGTCGCATATTTCCAGAGGTCCATCTCACAGAAAATAGATTGCCTGACAGGGTGGATGACAGGTGATCGTCAAAGGATATATGGTGAGGCAAGCAATCAGCAGGATCCTTGACACTCGATGAAGAAACAGGGTATGAATTTTACCGGACGGGGTAAATAATGTAAAAGATGCAAAGCCGGGTTTGATGCAGATTCCCTACGCACACAATTGTAGTCCATGCATATATATATATAGCGAGGAATCAATTTTGAGTTGATCTTGTGATCATCTAGTCCGTCCCTATGTAAGAACCTCATCTAGTCCTCCAGGATGAATCGCAAGGTGAACGAAGCAATTATCGTCTATGACGAAATGATCCCGTAAAATTATCTGTCAATCGCCGCTAGTTACAGGTACCAGGCTAGGACGGAAAGATACTTGAAATTTCGTACGAAGAGCTACTCCGGATCTAAACTGACAAGCATACCACGTGTAAGAACTGGGAACAGTTAACTCGGCAAGATGGGATTGGCTTCACCCATGTTGAAGAGACTTACTAGTACATAGATAGTCGGGTCTCAGGTCTCAATTCTACAACGTGTTATGTGGAATCAAAGCAAGAAATAAGAAAAGGAGGCACCAAAAGGTACATGTAAAACAGACAGTGTCTAAATTACATACATTGTATTATTTACCTGGATTTCCTAAAAATACATAAGATCGGCTCCGAGACTCGGCCGGCGGAGCCTTGGACAAGGCCCAGCCCATTGGTTCCCTCCACTTTAACTTCAAGGGTTTCACACGTTACCGAGAGTATCGTAATTTACTCGTCGGAGCCGGCCGTTGACCACCTGGGGAGGGGGGAAACTCGGCTTGATTTCACCAAACAGCAGTGCAAGCGAGAGTGACTAGCCGGAGGCTAGACCATTTTGGATACGCAGGGTCTGTTCAAGACCTGACATCACAGGTCAATTCGTACACAAGTGTAATCGTCTGTTCCGGATCACCTTCGTACCCCTGTTTTTTTTTTTTTTCGGGGTTCACACTCTGGCTTTATATAAATGGTCTGCAGCCGAAACCCATATCCTGTTCCATGATATCTTCAGTTGTGATTTATTTATAAATCCTTGGTCCTTCGCCACCTTTCCACCTTTCCACTATAGTACTTCTTTCAACTTACTACATCTCCCAATCCTCTGCCTTCGAGGCCAACGTATGATCCAAGATGTGCATCATGGCTTGCAACCGATCCAATGAGATCCCCAATCTCTCCATAGACCAGGGGACCTACCTCAGCCAACATCTGAGTCCCCAGTCTCGACCTGCCGACTACTTCGACAGGCCCGACCCTCTCGCTGCCAACTGGAGCTATGACAACGCCATTGACCTGTTCTCCATCAACCCCACAGATATGGAGCCCGTCTCATTCGACTTCGCAGACAGTCTGACGAACCTTGAATCCAAGGATCTCTTCAGTGACCCATTTGCTAGCTCTGGGATTAGTGGCTTTTCCATGCCCGAAGATGCGGCTTCACTATCATCGGTACGACTCCACACATCCAATCATTATTTTGACACACAAAGCTAATCTCCGCACAGGAGTTCGAAAGTGACGACCAAACATGGCCATCCGCTGTTGCCCGCCATTCCATCGACTCGAACACATTTGAAACACAGTCGACAAACCAATCCACAAACTACACCTCTTCTCAACTTCCAACACAGAGCAAGGCTCGCTCATCTTCAACAAGATGGTCATCGAGTCCAGAGATGAAGGAAGAAGAGATTACTACGCCCCAACCCTCCAAACCCACATCCCGCAAGACCCGCAGCTTTTCCCGAGATTCAACCCGCTCATCAACGGGCGGTCAAGACCCTCAGATGCGGAATGCCGCTAAGCGTGCCGCCCATAACATCATCGAGAAGCGCTACCGCACCAACATGAACGCCAAATTTGTTTCTCTCGAGCAAGCCATCTCCCCCTCGGGTGTTCAGAAGCATTCCAAGGTTGGCGCGGGGTCTCTCAAAAAGTCCGAGATTCTAACCAATGCTCTTACCTACATCGATGGTATCCAGCAGGAGAACCAGGCTCTGCACAAGGAGCTCGCACTTCTCAAGCAAAACTTGCTGCCGGGAGGTATCTGGCGCCATGCTAAAAATCCTCGATTATGATCAAGGCCATGCCGATCTTGCCACAGTGACGCTGCTGCTTTCAAGCATCTTTCTTTTTGTCATGACCGCGACGAGCGTTGTTTTCTTAGAGTAGCCGGACAACGCGGTCCCGGTCGGCGTTCTCTTTTTGCTTTCTTTTTCTTTTGTGGGTGGGAGGAGGCGTTCGGAACATCTGTTATTTGGGCTCATATGTGGCCCTCTCTCATCTCAGATATGATTTGATTTTCCGGTCGTGGCGACCACAAAAGTGTTATGTGACTTGTGATTCCCCCTAAATGGATGGGAATACCTCATGGATAGCATCCTAAAACATTAATATAACTGCCAAGACTTGGATGATTTATTCTGCTTAAATATTTCTCCTTTCATGATCGTGTGAGTATGGCCTGATGCTTTCCCAATGTGGAACTAGATGCGTTTCGATGGTCCCATCCATATTTGTATATAAGCACATCTGCATTGTAAGTGAGGTCTGTTCCCTCCGTGTTTTCGGTGCTGGACTGACTGGCCACTTCCGGTTAGCAAGGGGAATGCTCTCAAAATCAAAGTTGAATGTCTTTCGTATCATGACCTTGGTCGTCTTGCCTTCAAGATGGCCTCGATGTGGCTTAAAGCGCACTCTGAATATTACTCAACGGACGTGTTCTGTCTAAGAAGCAAGTTGATCAGAGCCAGTATCGCCTTGTGAGACGCACTTGGCTCTCCGTACTTGGTCAGGGGGAACGGATAAGATCAGCGAAACTAGTTTCGGAAATTTCCCATGATGTCGAGCCGGGAACATCGAAGGGGACAGCGGACATTGCTTTTGGTTCATCAAAGAGCTGGCTGCACTAACTACAGCGGGCAGGATGATTCGAGAAGTCACACATTGAACCATGTGGTCCACCAGGGGTGTCCGAATCCAATGTTTCCCGGTTGGAATTAAGCTACTGCACCGTGCCTGAATATCCCTGCAATTTCTCGCCTGCACGACTGCCAGCAAACGGCTATGCATCTCCAATGAATGGATTTTGGGAATATGCAATCGATAGCGAGCATGCCAGTCTGTCACGGATGCACTATGACGATGATCAAATTGAACCAATCTTGGGTTCACCGGGTTGCTTCCCAACCGTGTATACTACGGAATTTCGTTCATTGGCCTACACCGCCGTGTCTCGGTTCTTGCCATCTCCTTCTCCTTCCGTTGTGGGTATTGAGCTGGGCGAGATTGAACCTTGCAGTCAGATAGATGGCAGGGAGCCTACTGTGATGCCTAACTGAGGAGACTCGCCCACCCTAGGGCAAGCCGATGGTTCTCATTCCGAAGCAATAATTGAAGAAGTGGACCTTGATTGCACCGTTCCTTGGATGAAGCTCAAAGCTGCTGCTTTAGTGGTGCAAAGTGCGTCCTGAATCCGTCGTCTCAGGTTTCCCCTTTGGATGGCTTTCCATGGGACTACTGCAACAAATCATAGGTGACTATCCCGCCATACCCAGCTGCTGATCATCTGAATATGTTTCAAGTTGTTGTTTCGAACTCACATCGATATCGCAAGGGCTTTCGCTGGATAAGCCAAGGCTATGGCGCATGTGTGGTGTTGACTCCACATAGATACTGTTAAGTATTTCATTTGAAATGCAGATATGCAGCTCTTCCGTCACTATTATGGTGTCTATCTACACACTAGAGCACCATTAATCTCGGAACTGACGCCCCTAAACTGTGCTGGAGCTCCAAAATGCTAATCGTTGATTCTTATCGGCCCACGCATGGACTTGCCGTTTTGGGTCAACCGTCGCCACTGACAATCGAGCTTTGATGTTCATATGCGATGCCATTGAGTTTGATATTGGGAAGGTTTTTGAGAGACTGTGTATATTTCATTTGAAGTTGGCGTTCTACTCAAGTTTGGAGGGACATCCTTGAAGAGAATCTGTTGAGTCATGCTGGTCGGACCTCGTGCGGAGCTATGAAATGGCCATGGCATTTGCGAATAGGCAGCAAAAATATCCACATGAATGTGATTTGATGTTCAATTACTCAAACAACATGAATTCAATCCCAGTTGTACCCCAGTTCTTATCTGTGGAGTGTGTTGGTGGATACTTTGAATGGCCCACTGAAGGGAGGTCCTCCCGAAGATGACTCCCCGCAAACACCCAAGAAAAATTTCAGATTCCATTATCAACATCTTCCTTGTCCATGACCAATCGTTCTGATTCAACCACCAGTATCAGGTCCGCCCCGTCATTGGCCGCTCTCAATTGGTCTCCCGCTTTATCTAAGTGTTTTCCCTGAACAGGGTTAATTCGTGAGGGGTGTCAACGGGGACCAAAACCAGATCGAAGCTATATAGAAATCATTTCTCCCTATACTTCATACTTCTCGTTGACATTCAGTCAGAAAATGGGTGAATATCCCTCCTGTCTGCCTACTGAGTTGATCTACATTGCCTCCGGCTGAATTACCACGGCATGGATCTGGAGTCGAATTCGCAATCCCTCAAGCCACCGCTGACGGATCAGAATGTGCAAGATGCGCAGGATCTCGCTGCGCTGGGTCATTCCCAGGCTTTGGCGCGGAAGTTCGATGTATGGAGTATGCTGGCGCTCGCCTTTTGTGTGCTTGGTATGTTTGCGTTTTTTTTGCCACCTGACGTGAACCCCTGTGCTGACTTGCCCCAGGAACCTATTCGACCTTCGCTCAGGATCTTAGTAGTGGTCTAACCAATGGTGGCTCTATCACTATCCTCTGGGGCCTGGTGCTGGTCACAGCATGTAACCTGTGTGTGGCGCTCTCGCTGGGCGAATTGACTAGCAGCATGCCCACGGCCCTTGGTCAGGCCTACTGGGTATACCGACTGTGGAACACACCATTGGGCCGATTCGTCTCGTACATGTGTGCATGGATCAATACATTTGGATGGTGGACCTTGACTGCGTCGCAGGTCGCCTTCATGACTGAATTCCTGCTGGGCATGAAGACCATGTTTAATCCCGAGTGGGATGGAGCCAACAAGGGATGGCTCAATTTTGTTGTATACATAGGGGTGGTCTTCGTGCTGACCCTGATCAACGTCGTCAGCTGCCGCAAGGAGAAGATCCTGCCCTGGCTTAACAACTTTGTTGGAGTGTGGTTCTTCGGCCTGTTCATTGTGCTCTCTCTTGTGCTGCTCATCTCGGTCGGAACCAAGAGTCACTTGTCATTCCAGCCCGCTTCGTTCGCGTTTGGTGCTTGGAAGAATGAAACTGGCTGGGGCGACGGTGTGGTTTGGTTTACCGGGTTAGTACAGGCAGCATACGGGTTGACCGCGTTCGACTCGGTCATCCATATGGTGGAGGAAATCCCTGCGCCACGGAAGAATGCCCCACGAGTCATCTGGATGGCCGTCTTGTTTGGTGCCGTGACTGGATTCATTTTCATGGTGGTTTGCCTGTTCTGCATCCAGGATGTGGACCGTGTCGTCAACGCCGACCTCCCTTTCATGGAGCTTGTGGTCGAGACTGTTGGGGTGAAAGGGGCCGCTGTACTGATTGCAATGTTCATCTTCAATGGTTTAGGCCAGGGCATCAGTATCCTCACCACTGCCTCCCGTTTGACCTGGGGCTTTGCCCGTGACGGTGGTGTGCCTTTCAGCAAGTATTTCAGCCACGTCGACCCCGTGTGGCAAGTCCCTGCCCGCGCTCTTTGGGGTCAGAGCATCGTCATCGGTATCGTGGGCATTCTATACCTCTTTGCCAACACCGTGCTTGAAGCGATTCTCAGCGTCAGCACCATCGCCCTGACTGTCTCGTACGCGATGCCTATTTTCGCCTTGCTCATCACCGGTCGTGAGAAATTGCCTCCAGGTCCATTCCAGCTCGGTCGCATTGGTCCGTGGTTGAACTGGGTCAGTATCTTCTACTGTATCATCACTACAATTTTCTTCCTGTTCCCTGGGAGCCCAAACCCGGCACCCAGCGATATGAACTTTGCCATTGCCGTCTTTGGTGTCATGTTGGTCATTGCTGTTTCATTCTGGTTCATCCAAGGCAACCGAACCTACCTCTCGACCGAAGATGCCATCGCCTCAATGGTCTACGCCCATCATCTGGAAATAAATGAGCCAGGTGTTGATGAGCCTGTTTCGGCCGTTCAAGATCCGGTCGTTGTTGATGAGAAGTGATGTCATGAGGTTTCCTCTTTGATTTATAAAACCATACCCCTTTTGGACTGGTGTAAACTGACACATACATGCTATGTTCGGGGTGTCCATAACCATAACCCGGTTGCATTTTGTATATGTAGAGCCAGGTTGAAGTCCATCCTCAAAGACAGAAATTCTGACATAATTCAAATCATTGGCCCTAATAAATGATTCACAATTAAATTAGACACCAGCCAATTCTTTGTTGTTTTTCTTGACACAAAAATGTGAAGAGTCACGGGATAATACGGAGCACCGGCGGAACATGATCGACATTGTTGCAACTCCAGTCCTGCCAAGAACAACTTTTGAAGACCGCCGGCACAACGCTGAAAGCCGTGAGACAGTTCGGTGTCAGAGGAAACTATCATCTTGACCCCTAATAGTGGTCACAGGAACAACCTTGCAAGCGTGCTGAGCACTCCGTACATCTTGTCACTTCGCATTCTTGCCCAGCCATTTTACCCAAGACTGAGATGTCACATCAAATAATGAAGAAAGATCGAGATCACCAGCCACATCTGTCTCCAGTGCCGAAATGATTTTGAGTCTGGCAACTGGAATTTTGTGCTGGCCCCAGCCCCCGATGCACGCCGACGCACTCCGATGCATGTCAATGCAAACAGAACCGGTAGTCATTCGGGTTGCAACATTGCTTCAGTGCATTTCAGCGCCACACAAGCCTAGCGCCCATCCTTCTAGGGTTGTCTTAAGTTTTGATGAGATAGCCTAATTGGCTGCCAGCTAATGCAACAGTACATGATCACCATCCCAACTTCCCCCCTTCGGGAGCCTTGGCAGGAGAGGAATGATTTTGACAATGAAACACAACTTCCAACCGATTCCCATCGACCAGATCTGATAGCAGATAAACCGTGGGCTCCATGCATTAACAAGAACCTCATTTTCAAGGCCAAATCATCCAGCCACCCGGCAATACAAGCCCCTAACGCCCCCTCACCTTGCTTAGAGTGGGCCAACCCCTGCCGATCATCAACGGATCCCCGACGGGTGCACCAAATTTCACAATGGGATAGTAAGTTTATCTCCATACCGATCACATCAAAAACAATTCGCCGTTTCCCAGGTTGGGAAAGGCTGTTGGTCGTGACGATGCAAGCATGGGGCCACGGAGCCTGATCCTGAAGGCGCAATCCCCAGTCGCTAGCATTGATTACGAGCCGTCTCACTAAATGGGCATCCACCGAGGGTCCACTAGAACAGTGGAACATATGTGTTGTTGCGATGCCAAGGGAATGACGCGAAACTCTGACCAAAGCACTCTGTCCTTGCCAACAGTGTCTTATCCTGGTTTTTCCTGGGCTTCATCAACACACATTCTTTGTCGCCCTATCATTCCCCCCCCACCAATGCAACCATAATAAATACAAAATTGTTCACGATATTTACCCCTCTTTTGTATTTGATAGTCTTCTGACTACTTATACTTCCTACATTTGCTGTGCAGAGACTTCGACCAGTGTCTGAAAAGGTGTTCTGATATCACTCTCTACCATGATTGCATCATTATTCAACCGTAGGGCATTGACGCTCGCTTTATTGTCACTTTTTGCATCCTCTGCCACAGCCGATGTTTTTGAGAGTTTGTCTGCTGTTCCTCAGGGTGAGCAATCCGTGTTTTGAACTGAACCGGCCTAACTGATTCACTGACCGACCATAGGATGGAGATATTCTCGCACACCGAGTGCTAATCAGCCCTTGAAGCTACAGATTGCTCTGGCTCAGGGAGATGTTGCTGGGTTCGAGGCAGCTGTGATCGATATGTCAACCCCCGACCACCCCAGTTACGGGAACCACTTCAACACCCACGAGGAAATGAAGCGGATGCTGCAGCCTAGCGCGGAGTCCGTAGACTCGATCCGTAACTGGCTCGAAAGTGCCGGTATTTCCAAGATCGAACAGGACGCTGACTGGATGACCTTCTATACCACCGTGAAGACAGCGAATGAGCTGCTGGCAGCCAACTTCCAGTTCTACATCAATGGAGTCAAGAAAATAGAGCGTCTCCGCACACTCAAGTACTCTGTCCCGGACGCTTTGGTGTCCCACATTAACATGATCCAGCCAACCACCCGTTTCGGCCAGCTGCGCGCCCAGCGCGCCATTTTACACACCGAGGTCAAGGATAACGACGAGGCTTTCCGCTCAAATGCCATGTCCGCTAATCCGGACTGCAACAGCATCATCACTCCCCAGTGTCTCAAGGATTTGTACAGTATCGGTGACTATGAGGCCGACCCCACCAATGGGAACAAGGTCGCGTTTGCCAGCTACCTAGAGGAGTATGCCCGATACTCCGATCTCGCATTATTTGAGAAAAACATCGCCCCCTTTGCCAAGGGACAGAATTTCTCCGTTGTCCAGTATAACGGCGGTGGTAATGATCAACAATCGAGCAGTGGCAGTAGTGAGGCGAATCTTGACTTGCAGTACATCGTTGGAGTCAGCTCTCCTGTTCCCGTTACAGAGTTTAGCACTGGAGGTCGCGGTGAACTTGTTCCGGATCTCGACCAGCCGAATCCCAATGACAACAACAACGAGCCATACCTTGAATTCCTCCAGAACGTGCTCAAGTTGCACAAGAAGGACCTCCCCCAGGTGATTTCCACCTCTTATGGCGAGGACGAGCAGGTATGAAGCTCACCCCTTAGTTCGTGATTTTGTCAGTTTCTAATATCAACACCCCCCCCCCCAGAGCGTTCCAGAGAAGTACGCCCGCGCCGTTTGCAACCTGTACTCCCAACTCGGTAGCCGTGGTGTGTCCGTAATCTTTTCATCCGGCGACTCTGGCGTTGGCGCCGCGTGTCAGACGAACGACGGCCGGAACGCGACCCACTTCCCACCCCAGTTCCCGGCCGCCTGCCCCTGGGTGACATCAGTCGGTGCGACAACCCACACTGCGCCCGAACGAGCCGTTTACTTCTCATCTGGCGGTTTCTCCGATCTCTGGGATCGCCCTACGTGGCAAGAAGATGCTGTGAGTGAGTACCTCGAGAACCTGGGCGACCGCTGGTCTGGCCTCTTCAACCCTAAGGGCCGTGCCTTCCCCGACGTCGCAGCCCAGGGTGAAAACTACGCCATCTACGATAAGGGTTCTTTGATCAGCGTCGATGGCACCTCTTGCTCGGCACCTGCGTTTGCCGGAGTCATCGCCCTCCTCAACGACGCCCGCATCAAGGCCAATAGACCACCCATGGGCTTCCTCAACCCTTGGCTGTACTCTGAAGGCCGCAGCGGCCTAAACGACATTGTCAACGGCGGTAGCACTGGCTGCGACGGTCATGGCCGCTTCTCCGGCCCCACTAACGGTGGTACGTCGATTCCAGGTGCCAGCTGGAACGCTACTAAGGGCTGGGACCCTGTCTCCGGTCTTGGATCGCCCAACTTTGCTGCCATGCGCAAACTCGCCAACGCTGAGTAGGTTGCAGGTCTTGCTGACTCAGGAGACCATCTGAGTTTCAGATTATGAATTATTCCGACTAGTTGAACACTTCCGGTACGCATGCATGCCAGGTACATACACCTAGATTTTCTTCCCTATATATGCAAATACAATGATCTTGTGCACTGCATTCCATTTTTTCGTGGCTTGCTGTTTTTTATTCTCGCCTTGCCTGGAGGCGCTTCAACTCCACCCTGAGGCCTGCTGGTGCAAGAGACACAACTTTGACCTATCTCTATCTGGATATGTACTTTCTCTGATCCTCGATGGAATGCATAGCGTTGCTCCTGGAACATGATCTTGGACTTGACAAAACAATCTTAACGACCCAAACTACTTGCAGACACGTTGCAGTAAAACACACTGTGCACCCTACCGATTGAACACAGACTCGGACTTTTCGATGTCCTCCTTGCTCAAACACCATTTATCTTGCAACGCAGGATCAAGGCTCGAGGCATAGACATCCTTGGGCCACCATTCACCCCAGCTAGTCAAGAAAATCTGTTCCGGATCAGCGGGGAGATCATCGGCCGTGACCGCGCGAAGGATATTTTGGGCGCCTAATGATCGTTAGATGGCGTCTTGAAATCAAACTCGGATCCAAAGATCCCTACCCTCTGGCACGGTCTTGGCATCGGGCATATCCATGGTTAAACCTAAGCTCGAATGCTGGGCAAGCTTAGTGTCGGGGATGAGACCTGGTGAGACAGCCACGACTGTGCAATCTGGGAGGCTGCGACGCCAGTAGTGTGCACCCAGAAGCTGGGTGAATTTCGATGCACTGTACACTACTCTTGCATTCGCACCGGAGTTCGCCTTTAGATCGATGTCAAGAGTCCCTTGCATTAAGTCAGGATTGTGAACAACTTCGCTTTTGGCGACAGGACTGGAAATAAGGAAAACAAACGTACTCGGGTCGCCTTCTCTCACATTACGAATTGCACCCGACGATACAATGACTATGCGTGAGTGTGAGGCAGATAGAGTCTCAGAAAATTGGTGGGTCAGAAAGTGCTGGGCTGCGTTTTGATTCAGGGATGATCAGCTCCAGCCTCTTGAACTTTTCTTTTCTGCAGCCGATCGAATTTTTGTCATACCCAGATGATTGACCACGTAGGATTCACACCATTGAGAGCCATGGGGTCCCGGTCCCTCGGCGCTGTTAATGAAGCCCGCAATAAGGAAAAGATAATTCAACGGCCTTTGACCCAATTCAGAGAGGGCTTGCTTGGCAAAGGACTGCACGCTCTTTAGATCTAAAAGATCCAAGGGCAAGATAGAGACGCTGTGCTTGGAAGCATCGAATTTGAGATCATCGTACGCGACACGTGTCTTTTCCGTGTCACGAACCCCTAGAATGAAGCTGTATGGCTGTGCCTGTTGGAGTAGCTGCTTGATTGCTTCAAATCCCTATGGTCAAGTTTAGCTGGAGGATGGATATTCCCATAGAATGTGGATGTACCAAGCCCGACGAGGTGCCGGTCGCGATTACAGTTTTTGCGATCGAGGACATTTTCGGATGTATTTGCACCTGGTGATATTTGGCCTAACAGCATCGAGGGGAGGGGCAGAAAAACGATTTGACTCAGTGCAATGCGATGACGTCACTTGAAATCCAAGTATTAACCTATGGTGCATGTTAAATCTTAGTTTGCAGGACGAAAAGATCACGTTCAGGGCATGGAAATTAAAACAATCTGGTAATTCACTCGCTAGACGAAAAAAGAAGAAAGATGATCAGGGCGGCCACTTTTCCTCCCCGAACGAAATCAACCATCCGTTGATGAAATTAAGAGATAACCGCCATCAAAGCAGAGCCGAAAAGGAGCCCAATCATTCCTACGCCAGATTTGGGAATTGGCTGCTTCGCACTAGCGGCATTTGTGGAAGTCGAGGTGGCAGACGAGTGTGTGCTGGTACCGGTGCGCGAGGAAGTGGACTTGGAGCCGGTTGCTGTGGCAGTGGCGGTCGCATTGAGAGCAGCGTTGCAGAAGACGTTGTGGTAATTGCCACTCCTGCTGGTAAGGCAAGACTGGAGCTCGTCGACATTTTGGCCCTGGGCGAGACAGTAGATGCCGCAGTCATTGTCGTACTTGGAAACCTTGGCTTTTTGGCAGCAAGCATCCATCACATCGGTCATGTTCCCACTAACAACAGCCGCACAGGCTGCATCGGTCGTGGGGATTTGCCAGACGCTGCCGCCACAAGCAGTGGTTGCGCTCACGGACGAGGTGGAAGTGGTAGACATTTTGGATATTGAGGATAATGTGGCGTTGAGAGATGGGTTAGAGAGATTGAAGAGAAAGAGATTAAAAGAGAGGAGTCAATCTGCCCCAGGCAAGTAGTGCCTTCCCTTGAATGTGACTAGTGTTTGGTCTTCAGCCTTGGCCCTCCAACCTTCTATACATAGAAACAGGAAAAATTGAATTGGGGCTCTGTTTACGGAGGACTGGCAAATGTCTTGATTTTCCAACAGTATATGTGACCAGGTGCGTGTGATACGTGTTATGCATATCCAAATTCGCATCTACGTAAGGAGAGAAAGGTCAAGAGGTGTATCATAGCACGATGTATAGAGTACAGGAAGGAGAGAGTTGTGATGCAGAAATCAATCATTTCGACCTGGAGCTGATCTTGGGTTGAAAAAAAAAACTGTGCAGCCTTTTGATCATCTGTTCCTCTAATTCTTTGGGCCAGGGATGACATCCTCGTGCTTCAACACTTCGACCTTGCTTTCATCCATACGAGCCTCAGTGTGCTTCTCATCAGCAACCTCTACACCGACAAGGGCAAGAAGGCCGATTTCATGTTCGATTCTCCGCTTACGTCCCTTGTCGGCAGCTGCCAGCCCGACCGATCCGAACAGTTCGTCCATCTCCTCAAGAGTGCGACCTTTGGTTTCGGGTACGAAGAAAATGACATAGAAAATAGCAATAGTCGTGATACATCCAAAGAAGATGAATGCACCAAAGTTGCTTTTCTGGAGGAAGGGAGATGTAGAAGTACCGACTGCGAAGTTGTTCAACTGCAGAGCACCCAGTTAGAGGATGTCCGATAAACTTGTCTATCTCGCCACTTACCCAGTTACTGCTACCACCAAGACTGACACCCTTGGCACGCATGCTGAGAGGGAATACCTCCGAGGTCACAATCCACGCAACAGGTCCTGCGGTGGAACAATGGTCAGCAGAGCTTACTCTCCGACGAGGAATTTGTACACACCCCACGAGTAGGCGAAGTTGATGATGAAGATCCAAACAAAGACTATAGCAACCCAGCCGGCTGCTTTGTGCTCTTCAAAGCTACCCTGGTAAGCGCCAATGATGCCCGCGACAATGAAATGACAAGATGCCATTCCAATTGCGCCAGCAATCAATATGTTCTTTCGTCCCACCTTGTCAACCCACAGGACGGCGGGAATGGTGAAGACGAACTCGAAAATCCCAACAACACCGGTGGCAAGTAGTGAGATTGTGTTGCCGCCTAGGTGCATATCCTTGAAGATGAATGGTCTGTCGAAGTGTTAGCAGGTGGACTCATCGAACATGGATCTTCCATATCTTCCACCACAAGATTTGATTTGCAGAAACTTACGCATAGTAGTTAATTGCATTGATGCCTGAATAACCATGTTAGTGATGGATTCAATTTTCGGCAGCTCACGTATCCTACCATTCCATTGTTGGAACACCATGATCAGGCACTATTGTATCTTTAGCAATCCCGATGTACTACCACGGGTTATAAACGTACCGCCGTTGCCGTGCGCTTAAAGAGAGATTTGTCGGTGATCAATGACATATAGTCATGTAGTCCAACCTTAAAGCGGCTAGAAAACGAGTCATCCTGCCAGTCGGGGTACTTTTCGGCTGCTGTCTCTCGTTCAAAGAGGTACAAACTCTTGATTTCAAGGAACTCGATGCGAACAAGCATATCATCCGGAGGTGCACTACGCAAGCGGGCTAGAGTTTGTAGGCATTCTTCCTCGCGGCCGGTGTTCATCAGATGACGGGGGGACTGGGGCATGAACAGCATCATACCCACAGCCAAGACCACAGCGGGAAGGATTTGAATACAGACTGGAACCAGCCATGCAGCATCCGACTGTGTTGCCCCAGTTCCGCCAATGTAATTTGTTCCATAGCCAATCTGCAAACGTCAGGGCTGAGAGATTTCATGAGAATAATCGGGACCTACCCAGAAGCTGACCATGATCCCAAAAGTGATGGCAAGTTGCTGCACAGCGACAAGCGAGCCACGAATCTCCGGTGGTGCCTTCCGTCTTTGTCAACAGTTCTCTCCTTTCTCGAACCTATTGCATTCACTCACCAATTCTGCATTGTACAGCGGCACAACCATGCTCAGACTACCAACACCCAGACCCGTCACAAATCGACCTCCGAAGACAAAGTCTTTGTTTTCCGTACAGGCTTGAACAATGACACCAACGCAGAACACCACCACTGCGATCAAAACAGTGAGACGACGACCGAGTGCATCTGCGAGATATCCGTTTAACAATGTCCCCACCCAGGCACCAAGTTCGAGGATGGACGTGAGCATTCCCTGCTTGATGCCCGTTTCTTTCGCGTAATCTTGCGTCTATGTGCCATTAGCAGTGGGAAATGGTGACTCGACGGCCGAGAGACATACCGCTGCCTGGAACGCCGGCATTGTCAACACTTGAGCGAACATTCCCTGGTTGTCTAGGTGATCTCTATCAAACTCTATCCCCGAGGGCAATGGGATGACTTCATCAACTTACATCCATAGACCAGACCTCCCAGGGATGCAAAAAGTCCGATACACGTTGTCTTCTTGTTACTGAGCAGGCCCTTGAATCCATTTTTGCCTGAAAGCTCAGCACGTTTGGCCGAGATGGCCGTCTCTCCCGCAAGAGGAGCCACCATTTCGTATTACGACAGAGGCCGACAAGGATGAATAATACCAAATTGCTCAACTTTTGATGGGAAAAAAATTAATGAAAATGTGAATGGCAAATATCGAGAGAAATGCCTGCACGTTCCCTACCTCGACAGGGGATCTACGAGTATTTATTCCTCACCGGGATGGACAAGGAGCCTAAAACGACCAGGTTTCCCCGGGAACTTAGCCCCATGGGGTCAGAAAATGGATGTGATCAATTTGGAAACCTGAAAACATGAGGTAATCGGCCCAATCGGCCTATTGTCACCAAGCTTCGTGCCGGGTGGTCTTCCTTTCTTCTCAAGCCGGGTGGACAGGTCGAATCGGCTGCGAGACGGGAAAGGCTCGACTAGCTTGGCCCTACAAGACCGTCAGTGGCTGCAATACCATGGGGCCGTGCGTGAATTTGTAGTGGCATTTAACCGGTGCTCTTAGCCAAAGACACCGAAATGGTTGGATGAGATGGCCGAAGCAAAGTTCCACGGAGTGGTCAACGCCATATCGATTTCCAACTATAATTCTATGACTGGAACTCTTATCCAAGGGAGTATCCAAGTGGGCATCTGCTGGCGAAAGAATTCGGACAAGCTCCGCCGGATGGAGAGATTCCGGGGACCCCGCGCATATAAAATCTGGGGATTCAGATTTGTCAGAATTCTAACTCCCACCTCTTTTTTTTTGATCCACTAGAAGGTGAATACAATGTTATTCTTCATGTCATGATACCTCCAGGCGAAATTTACGCAACCTTTTCCAAGGTAAAGTCTGTACGGTTCAGAAGTCAATTTTTCCATATCCAAACCATTCCCGTAGCGGTTGAATCACTTTGATTTTAGCCGGTTTAACCCCAGTCTTCATAGCCACTGACTGCACATCCTACTATTTGATTTCTGTACGAATCGGGCTCGGGCAGGTCGTCGTGCTGGTGGCTCACCAAATGCCGAACGTCGAACCCCCGGATTAGCCGGAAATGGGATACGCATCGTAGCAAATCGGCACGTGGATAAAGGGGGAGCTCACGTCATATTATGCTTTTCACCAGGACCCCCGATTTAATTCTAAAAGCCTTGTGAGGAAGTGTCTCGGCTTCTTGTCGGAGATAGATCGGTGAACCGTGAGGGGTCTATGGAGCAGCTCATAGTGTGATAAACCTCCGAAGGCTGGCTGCACAACATTTATACCAATTGGTTTAGATGCTTGGACTTGGGGCTAACTCCAGCGATATCAAACGTGCATTTGGCCTCGGCCCGTCCAATCTAAAATGTCTTCCCATCTAGTTTCCCGATGTAGGTTTATGAAGGCATTTATGTGGAAGACATATAGTACCTGCAGTTCTCAATGTCTTACACATTCTTCAGATTTTTCCCTGCACGCGGGACCTTCATGTACAAACCGCTATTACAAACTTTCTAGTCTTATATGTATCGATCCCAAATAAAGGGTGCAGCACTCACGAGCCTCATATATACTTCAAAGATCACACCCCGAGTCTAAGCACCACCATTCCGATATAATCTATACCCGGCAAAAAATCGACCAGGCAGTGAAGCAGCCATGATCGGAATATTACGCTGGTAACTAGCAATGGCGTAAATCATCCCCGTGGAAAGAGACGTCACACTGTGGTATTTGCGGAGAATTGAACGTCAAGTCACTTAAGAGATCGGTAGCTCACCCCGGGCATTGAACTGTGTGAATGGGAACTTCAGCTAGGGGAGAGTCCGGGAGATTTGGTGCGGCGGACGGATCTGCCAAGGTGTAGACAACATTGGCCAAAGGAAAGGCGCCTTGGACGGTCAACACACCAGGTAGGCGGAGACCGACATTTTGCATTGTCGTGATCTGTGATGATCGTTGATTTGGGTTCTTTTTCAAACAAAACGATGGGCATTTGCCGGTGGAGATATTTTGTGAATCACTCTCCGGTTTCCTCCGGCTGAACTTGTCAACATGCCTTCATGGCATGTGGTAGGCTGAGCCTGTTAACCCCTTTTGAGCACGTTTGGTGACTTTTTTTGAGGCTGAGAACGTTCATTTAAATTAGTCTATCCCTGCGAAAAATGCAGATTCCGTGAAAATGACCTAGGTCCATATTTTTGTCAACTTACGTGGAATTGAGGAGTCTCAGGATTCTGCTGATTCTTGTGATCAATTTGCTTGCCCACACAAATGATCACCTACTCTAGAGAGTTCAAACTGCTCATAGAGGCAACGTTGCTGTTGATCAATACCCAGCAATATCTCATCCCTGGCATTCGGGAAAGCCCGTCTAATCCATCATCTCATCTCAACTGTGGAATATATAGAGTTGACAATTGACATCACCGTGTCCACCGTTTCAATTTCGGGGATTTGACTAGCTGCAGCTTAGGTCTGACTGTATGTTCAGAGAAGATCAAACCAAAGTTGTAAATAGCAAATCAAGTTGCCATCAGGCTGGAAAGAACAGGAAAGGAAGGTATTTGGAGGGAAAGTCACCTGACCGTTTCCTTCCTCTCCGATGTATCGTCCTTCTTCCCAAAGGTAACCAGAGACTTGCTTTCCGATGTAGCCTTCCGTCATGCTATGTATCTTCTGATAATCCAATCCAAACTAATCATATTGACTGAGAGTCTCAGAGCAAAGGTCCGCCTTTACCCCAGTTCTCTCTTTTTTTCAGAGCAGTGACGACTATGACTTGGCTTATCAGTTGGGCTAGGACGGCTATAAAAAGAGGCCGGTCGCCTGTGCTTCGGTTTCCAACAAGTGGGTACGAAGTGATCAGGTCGTCTCAAATCCTCGAGGAAGAGCGCTTTGAAGAGTTCAAGAAAGGGCACTATTATCCAGTCAACATTGGTGACGTGTTAGTATCCAGATACCAGGTACTCGGAAAGCTGGGCTTCGGAACCACTTCCACAGTGTGGCTCGCCCGTGACCTCGAGTAAGCCAAGTCTCCTCCAGTCTTCCAGAAAGAAAAGAGAAAAAAAAAAAACATGCTAACGGGGTCAGGGGTCGTCAATATGTCACACTGAAGGTGTTTACAAGGGGTGGAACTGGCCAAGGGGAGGTTCAGACCTATAAAGCCCTAAGTCAAGGAAACAAATCACATCCAGGCTATACGCATGTGAGGACCGCATTAGATGCATTCACGATATCGCATCAAGGGGGCGGACATCAGGGAAGTAAGCATTACTGTCTTGTCCAAAAACCTATGTGGGGGAGCTTTCGAGATTTGTTGTATCTTGATCCGGCACATCGGCTTAGCGAGGATCTTCTGAAGAGCGGACTTAAGCAGATCTTCCTTGCGCTTGATTATCTTCACACCGAATGCCAGCTCGTCCATACTGGTTAGCATTTATTCTTTTACTGCCACTAGGCAGGCCACTAACCAAAAATTTCTAGACATCAAGAGCGACAACATCCTTCAAGAACTGGAAGAGACGTCGATACTTGAAAAGTTTACTGACTCTGAGATCGAGCATCCCTCGGCGCGGAAATCAGTCAATAACATGCCAGTTTATGCTTCTCGTCGATTTGAGTTACCTCCGAACCTGAACAGGGCAGTTCTGAGCGACTTCGGTTCAGCTGTGCGGGGCGATGAAAAGAGAAACCATGATGCTCAGCCCACTATCTACAGATCACCAGAAGTCATGTTAAAAACTGAGTGGAGCTAACCCATTGATATTTGGAATGTTGGAGCCATGGTTTGTGAACTATTAAAACCAGTCGATCTATACGTCACTAAGCCTACAGCTATTAGGTATGGGATTTGTTTCAAGGAAAACACATGTTCTTTGGAATTGATCCCAATGGCAAGGGTTATTCAACTCGTGTGCACCTTGCTGAAGTAATTGGAATACTGGGTCCTGCTCCTCCGGATTTTCTCAAACGTGGAGAGCGAAGCCACGAATTCTTTACTGAAGACGGTATGTCGTGCTTGGCAGCGGAACCCCGGTTCCAAATGGTATCGTTCTGACTCGAAAAATTGTTTGATAGGACATTGGAGGAATCAAATTGAGGTTCCGAGGGAAATTTCATTGGAACTCTCCGAGGAGCGTCTTAGTGGAAGAAACAAAGAGATGTTCCTAAACTTCATGAGGGGAATGCTTCAATGGCGACCAGAAGACAGAAAGACCGCCAAGCAACTGCTTAAGGATCCATGGCTGGATAGCTGATCCTAACAATACCTGTACACTCCTTTTATTGGGCTGCGAGGATCCACGAATTGCCACATGGCTCGGACTCGTAAGAAAATGGACGACAATTTCCGACACAAGGGTTACCCATGTCGATAGACAGCAATAGCTAAAGATGAATCCCAGCATCCATACGCCCAGAATCTAACGACAAGTAAACCAGAAATAGCAAGTTCATCTCAGATTGTGACTAACAACAAATTTTTCTTCCACCGAGTCTGAGCTTCTACTGCTTTTTCAAGGCGCACGTTGAAGTCACTTCGGATTCAATTCTCTGGCTTCACCAGAGCACAAGTCAACCGCATCTGTGTATCAATGATCAGACCCTGGCTACCCCTTGCATGCAAGGACGCATCCAGGACTCCAGCTTCCAATACAGCACGGGATTGACGATGAGCCTCGGCCCGCTTGCGCAGATACGAGCTTTACATGGCGATTTCTTGATCCATTTCAAAATGTAAGAAGCAGGGGGGCACACGAAGGGAGTTGGCAAAGAAATTCGCGAACCGGAGTCGTTTCCACTTATGTTCACAGCGGTTCTTAACAGCTTCGTTGAGGAGCGCAGCACCAACCCCGTAGCCACGGAAGCTTTGTTGGACAGTCCAGGCACGTATGAAAGCATCGTAATTTTCGCCAGTTGGAACGTTCCTTAGTTGCTTTTGGACGGGGTCGGATGCCGTTGTAGACGATGCTCATAACCAATGTGCCGACAATGCGGCCCCCAAATCGATGCATAACTACAAACGTCACTCCATCATCCGAGTTGAAAGCGGGATCTTCCTGATTAGTGACAGCACTGGCATCAGGATCGTGCCCGTATAACCAGTTCAGTGCTCCAACTTTCTCGGCCTCAGTGTTGTATTTCCACATCAAGTGTATGACAATACCCAAAATTGCTAACACCACGGTGGTACTGATTACCGAAATGTAAGGCCAGCCACATGGGTCATGGTAAATAGCATTGACGCTGTTAGCGAAACCTAAAGCTACCAGAGTTAGGGTGACCGGGTGGATGACGAGGTGTTTAGCGACAAGGAAGCGTTGCTGAGTCACTGAGACGGCGATGAGCTTCAATGCGGAGGTGATTTCAAAGTCCTTGGTTGCTATATCGGTCAATTGTCCTAGAGACGTGACGGGTTCGAGCACCTTCTGGCTGGTAGATAGGCTTGCGTGGCGGGTCTTTTTTCTGGTTATCGGTTTCCGTTGGCTTTGTGATTGTAACTTACTCCCCTAGACAAGGTGATTTGACCAAACGCGCCATGGTAAATAGTCTTTGAGAGGTGGGAGTAAGCAACGAGGAGAGGTGAGAAGGATTGCGAGGATGGCTGAAGTGGGATAGACGCGTTTGTCGGGATACTGTTTCACAGAGAAGCAAACAACTTTGATCGAGGTAGATCATGATCAAGGCTGTTACAAAAACTACGGGATTCCAGAATATGGATTGGAAGGTTCAATTTTTGTACATAGCGTAGGATCTGTTCGCCACGACTCTCTCATGCAGTTGGGAATTATACCAAGTCAAGCCTAGTTTTAATTTCAGCCTGCATCGATCAATCCGATGGACAGATTACAAGATTTACTTAGACCATCTCACAATATTACAGTCGTGTATGACTCTAGCCACTGCTTTCACGTTGATTAAAATTCACCTACAAGAACCCGCTGGATGTACAACCATAAGACGATAACCTTTCAATGACATGGAAAGAAATTTAAGCTATATTGTAGTATTCTTATGACTTTGTAAAGAGCCCTCATATCCTGGTCTTGGATAAGCCCACAAAACAGAATTTTTCGAGACAAAAGCTGCAGAACCACGTTTAAGGGACAGGGACACAAATAACCGTAAACTGCATTGAACTCTCTTTCATCAGATCAGAGGACGTCATGAATAAAAGCTCTTTCTCGATGTAGATGGTTCTTCGAATCGATGGGCCTTCTGAGCGTGACAAAAGAGTTCCTACTGGGAGGGTCACGTCGAAAGTCGTGGTTGAGAATGAGAGTGGTTAACCGACACCAGGTAAGGAATTTTTGAAGCGGAAGTCGAAACGTTGAAGTGCCCTCACGTTTCGGTGAATTCGGCGTGTCCAGTACACCACTTTGTGATGAAAGATTGTGGAGTGGTATGGGTGACCAGGCTTATTAGAAACCCAACAATGGAAATTTCCGAGGCTGGTGTTCAAAGTGTGAATTGTGAAGGTCTTGTGGAGACTAGGAGAAGACGCAGGCTTTAGGCGCGATGTTGATGAACAACTTCAGTGACATATAGACAGTGGTGTGGCGGTAGGAAAGTAGAATCTGAGATTTAAGAGTGTACCCTTGAAAGAATGGATTGTCGGTGTCTGGCTTAGCGTCTCCATCGACAAGGAGCTTGAGGTGAGATCGCGGGTCTCGAAACCAAATTTCAAGAGTGGTGGACCCTGATACGAACAGCCTCGCTGGTAATGACCTGGAGGGGCTCGGAGAGCTTAGGCTAGGCAAATATAAGACCAGAAGACTCATTAAAATAGAAGTGTGTGAACTGAAACCCGCGCAAGCTTTCACCTCCTTGTGGTATTTAGGTAGCCTTCATAGCATATATCAGCTAATAATGACGGTACATAGATGCATATTTGAACATACAGATGTAAAAATGCATATGGCTGTACAGGTATTGGATTGTAGACAATGCTGACATTGTGAACTATTTTTACAAACTATAATGGACGCAAAAATCCGAAGTAGTGCACCGGCGGTTGGACATTGTCGGACAGCCCCTACCTATTCACTGTCTATCCACTGCCTGTTCGCTTTTTTAACTTGACCTTACTTTAAATCCCCCGCTTCATCTTCCACCGCATGATGAAGGCCGCGAAAGGGTAAAAGGCTAAGGATATTGCAATCCAAATGAACAATATAGCAAAGTCCAACCCAATGCGCGAATGGACATCGAAAATTATGGTTCGCAGAGCATCGACAACTACAACGGAAATTTGATCATCAGCAACAGAGCACCACGACCACCGGGGGAGGGGACTTACTTCGATGTAATGGCCATGCATACCCCCATCTGTAGAACTTCGGAGCTAAATCAATGGCATAGAACCCCGTTGCAACATTCGTGATAACCCAAAAGATAAGAAATAACGCACTCCATGGGAAGCCAAGAACCATAGCCATGTTCTCACAGGGGAATCCCAAAGCAGCCATGCCAACCCAGTTCAGCATCCAAAATACGACAAATGAGCCACGACCATAGGCATTGGCATTGGTTGCGGGCAGGACCTCCGACGCAGGGTCATTGCTGAACGGTATCTTGAAAGCCAGAGACACGAGTGAGTAGCACAGTGAAAGAAAGAAGTAAGCCACAATACTCGAGAGAATGCGCCAAATGAGCCAGTGTGGCAACTTGAGCGGCGGATGGCCATTCGGTTTCATGAACTGGGCATGAATAGGCATCATAAATGGAAAGTTGAAGAAGGCAATGATAATCAAATAGATTAACCCGATGGTCACGGCAGGCGCGGCAACAACTGGGGCAAAAGGACGTAGGTCGACGGTCGTGAACCCAATGCCCGGGTTGATCACCTGCGGAGGCACGGACGACAGGTTGCTGGTGGATGAGGTGAGAGAGCGGACCCATTGTGGACCGAAATCCGATAGCACCTTGCCCTGTAAGGTGGCCAGATCGGGCAGGATATAGTTGAAGTAGGTGGTTTCATCCCGCGCAGATATGATCACTGTCTCAATGGCACCGGTTGGATCGTAGTTTGTATTGCCATCCGTGACTGCATCCTGAAGTAGCTTTGTCGCATTGGGCTTGATTATTACTGCTGCATAGGCACGTTCACGGTAAATGGCCTGGCGCACAGCGGAAGGGTCATAGTTGAAGTCAGCGGGAGATTTGATAGTATAACCGAGGTGAAGGCCGTCGGACTGCAAAATTTTGTTGGTAACATCCGTAACTGCCGGGCCAACGATGGTGTCATTGGAGCGATATGGATCAACTGTGCCGTCGAAATCGACAATCCAGATCTTCAACGCTGGGTACTTGGCTTCCGTGCCGTATTGGACTCCCCAGAAGAGAGATAGCACACCGAACGCAAAAACGCACAAAATTAACACTAATCACTTCTGTTAGTTTCTCTTTCAGTCCGCGAGTGCCCGGATCTTGGACGTTTGCTCACAAGTGCGAGCCCATTGGTAGAATACCCGCTGTCGAACCTCCTTGAGAGATGGATCAAAGAATGATACAGCCCCGGGTGGGCGAGTGTCACCGTTTACTACCGCGGTTTTATCTCTCATAATTGAACAGCCTGTAGAGGTTGTGTGACTATGAAAAGCTGCAATTAGGCCAAATGGAAAGTTACCATTACACGCGAAAAGATGCCCATCCGCTTGCGGCGTTGTAGAATTCCTCGGGGTTTATCTATTTATGGAAGGACCCTGCCTTAACTCCGAGTGACGCCAAGGTGACTTCTGGCAACTGAGAGCCGCACATACTCCGTACACCGTCTTGGAAGTCTTCAAGGCTTTGTTTACTGGAATAATGTCGCAGCTGCGCCTTGCATGTACAAGAATACGAGAAAAGCGTGTTGCAGGAACATGTACATCCGTAACTGCAGTGTCATAACATCACGGACGTCAACCATGGAGTTGGACCAGTCAGAATCACTAGGCGGCGTATCGTGTGAGTAATATTCCCAATAATCATTTTATCAATGATTCAGATACCCTGACGCGTCGAGTGGGAAAAGACCACTGCTGCATAGTGTATTATATTACCTGTCCACCAGTGCTGTGAAGGGGGGTGAGGTAGTGCGCAGTCTGTGACTGCTCAAATTCAAATCTTTTAATCATTTTCGGGTCGCGTCGGCCATTGAGACAAGTCGCCCGATAGCAAATTTCAGAACACAGGCCAGTGATTGCCATCGATTGTTACCACGTGGACGAGTAAGTAGCAGGAAAAGAGCGCAAGTTTGGAATAATGGACAATCATAAACACTGCGAATGTTGGAGAAACAGGGAACACATCACAGTGGCCGGGCGCCAGGTCCGCCGAGGTCACCTCACACCAACGCACATGGAGAACAACGTACGCTGCCGACGAAGACGAAGAGGCATGGCGCCATGACCCGAACCTATTCGTGTTCGACCTGCCGGAGTGATGCAT